ATCCTAACTAAAGAGGTACCTAACTAACTAGGTACCTAAGTAACGAGGTAAACGCCTCCTAACTAACGAGGTAAATGCCTCCTTACTAATGAGGTTAACGCCTTCTAACTAAACGCCTCTTTACTAACAAGGTAAACAACTCCTTACTAACGATGGAAACGCCTCTTTAGAAACCAAGTAAACGCCTCCTTGTTAACAAGGTAAACGCCTACTTACTAACAAGGTAATCGCCTCCTAACTAGCGAGTTAAACGCCTCCTAACTAAAGAGGTACCTATCTAACGAAGTACCTAACTAACAAGGTAATCGCCTCCTTACAAACAAGGTAAACGCCTCCTTACTAATGAGGTAAACGCCTTCTAACTAAAAGCCTCTTTGCTAACAAGGTAAACGCATCTTTACAAACAAGGTTAACGCCTCCTAACTAACGAGGTAAATGCCTCTTTACTAACGAGGTAAATGCCTCCTACCCAACGAAGTACCTAACTAACGAGGTAATCGCCTCCTTACTAAAAAGGTAAACGCCTCTTTACTAACTAGGTAAACTCTTCCTAACTAAACGCCTCCTTACTAATGAGGTAAACACCTCCTTACTAACGAGGTAAACACCTCCTAAATAACGAGGTACCTAACTAACAAGGTAATCACCTCCTTACTAACAAGGTAAACACCTCTTTACTAACTAGGTAAACTCCTTCTAAATAAACGGCTCTTTACTAACTAGGTAAATGGCTACTTACTAACAAGGTGAATGCCTCCTAACTATATATATACGTATATATATATATATATATACGTATATATATATACGTATATATGTAGTATACGCCTCCTTACTATTGAGGTAAACGCCTTCTAACTAGCGAGGCAAACGCCTCCTTACTAATGAGGTAAACACCTCCTAACTCAACGCCTCCTTACTTACTAGGTAAACGCCTCCTTACTAACGAGGTAAACGCCTCCTTACTAATGAGGTAAACGCCTCCTTATTGACGAGGTAAATGCCACCTAACTACACGCCACGTTATTAACATGTATATGACATGTATAGCTGCATGTCGTCATTCCGCCGCTGGTTGTCGAGGTGGTGTCCAGCAAACGATGTGGGCTTTGTAGATCATTGGCAGACTTTCTGGGGAAGACCTGGTCTGATCCGGAGAGACGGCATCCATCCCACTTGGGAAGGAGCAGCTCTCATTTCTAGAAATCTGGCCAAGTTTATTAGTGGACCAAATCCATGACAACCCAGAGTTGAGACCAGGAGGCAGAGTCGCAGTTTAACACACTTCTCTGCCCTTCTTTTTCAGCAGTTACCCACCCAAAACCCTACGCAGAGTCGCAGCCTAACACACTTCTCTGCTCCTCCATTTCAGGAGTTACTTAGTGAAAACCCTATAGTGACGGTGTCTGCCCCCCCCCGACCATTGAAATTATTTCAACCAAAGGTAAACAGAATAGGAGCATAAAAACCTCATAAAAATTAAAACCACAAGAGCAATAGTGCAAACGAATAGGAGAGTTAAATGAGAGTTAAACATCAGATCTCTCTCCTCTAAAGGTGTACTAGTAAATGAACTAATATCAGATTATGATATTAATTTTGTCTTGAAACCTGACTGGGTGATGGAGAATATGTTAGCCTAAATGAATCCACCCCTCCCAGTCATATTAATACTCACATTCCTCGAGGCACAGGCCGAGGAGGTGGAGTTGCAGCTATCTTCGACTCTAGCCTACTAATCAGCTCTAAACCTAAACTAAACTATAACTCATTTGAAAGCCTTGTTCTTAGTCTTTCACACCCAAGTTGGAAATCACTGCAACCAATTCTGTTTGTTATAGTGTACCGAGCACCTGGTCCGTACTCTGAATTCTTAACCGAATGTGCTGCGTTTTTGTCAACTTTTCTCCTTAAAACGGACAAAGTTATTATTGTAGGAGATTTTAATATTCATGTGGATGTTGAGAATGACAGCTTCAGTACTGCGTTTATCTCTCTGTTAGATTCCATTGGCTTCTCTCAGAGTGTTCATGAACCGACTCACTGTTTTAACCACACCCTCGACCTTGTTCTGGTATATGGTATTGAAATTGAACATTTAATAGTGTTCCCACAGAATCCCTCTTTATCTGACCACTGTTTGATAACTTTTGAGTTTGTATTGCTGAACTACACACCATTGGGCAAAGATGTCTGTCTGATAGTGCTGTGGCTAAATTTAAGGATGTGATTTCATCAGCTCTAAATTCATTATCAAGTCACAAAGTAATGGAGGACTCCTATGCTAATTTCATTCCCTCCCAAATCGATCATCTTGTTGATAGTGCTGCAGGCTCGCTGCGAATGACTCTCGACTCTGTTGCCCCTCTAAAAAAGAAAATAATAAAACAAAGACGGACCAAACTGGAAAATTTAATTTGGCAATATAGTCTTAAAACTTATAAGAAGGACCTCCGTAATGCCAGGGCAGCGTATTACTCGTCATTGATAGAGGAAAATAGGAACAACCCCAGGTTTCTTTTCAGCACTGTAGCCAGGCTGACAGAGAGTCACAGCTCTATTGAGCCAAGTATTCCCATAGCTCTCAGTAGTTACGACTTCATGAGCTTCTTTAATGATAAAATTCTAGCTATTAGAACACAATTCACCAAGACCTGCCCTCAACTGGCACCGACTTATCTCTAAACTCAGGAACCTTAGAAACAGCTGTAGAAACAGATACATGTTTAGACTGTTTTGCTTCCCTCAATCTTTACCAACTAACTTCAATAATTTCTTCATCTAAACCATCAACCTGCCTCTTAGACCCCATCCCGACTAGGCTGCTTAAAGAAGTTTTACCCTTAGTCAGCAATTCTCTACTAGATATGATCAATCTATCTTTATCAACAGGCTATGTACCACAGTACTTTAAAGTAGCTGTAATTAAACCTCTTCTGAAAACTTGATCCGGATGTTTTAGCCAACTATAGACCTATATCTAACCTTCCATTTCTCTCTAAGGTTCTGGAGAAAGCAGTTGCTAAACAGCTGTGTGACGTTCTACAGAGCAATAGTTTATTTGAGGATTTTCAGTCAGGATTTAGAGCTCATCATAGCACAGAGACAGCACTGGTGAAAATTACTAACGACCTCCTTATTGCATCAGACAAAGGACTTGTCTCTGTACTGGTTTTATTAGATCTTAGTGCTGCATTTGATACCATTGACCATCAGATCCTATTGCAGAGACTGGAACATTTCATTGGCATTAAAGGAACCGCTCTAAGCTGGTTTAAGTCCTATTTATCAGATCGATTTCAGTTTGTACATGTTAACGATGAATCCTCCATGCGCACCAAAGTTAGTAATGGAGTTCCACAAGGATCTGTGCTCGGACCAATCCTCTTCACTTTATATATGCTTCCTTTAGGCAATATTATCAGGAAATATTCCATAAACATTCATTGTTATGCAGATGATACTCAGTTATATCTATCGATCAAGCCAGATGAAACTAATCAGTTAGCTAAACTTCAAATGTGCCTTCAGGATATTAAAACCTGGATGACCTGTAATTTTCTAATGTTAAACTCAGATAAAACTGAAGTTATTGTTCTGGGGCCCAAGCACCTCCGTGACGCATTATCTAAAGATATAGTTTCCCTTGATGGCATCGCCCAGGCCTCCAGCACCACTGTGAGGAATCTTTGATCAGGACATGTCGTTTTAGTCTCACATTATGCAAATTTCAAGGACTGCCTTTTTTCACCTACGTAATATTGCGAAAATCAGGAACATACTGTCTAAAAATGATGCAGAAAAACTAGTCCAGAGATTGGTTACTACTAGGCTGGATTACTGCAATTCCCTATTATCAGGCTGCTTGAAAAAGTCCATTAAGACTCTTCAGCTGATCCAGAATGCTGCAGCACGTGTTCTGACAGGAACCAGGAAAAGAGATCATATTTCTCCTGTCTTAGCTTCTCTGCATTGGCTTCCAGTAAAATCCAGAATAGAATTTAAAATCCTTCTTCTCACCTACAAAGCTCTTAATGGTCAGGCATCATCTTATCTTAAAGAGCTCATAGTACCTTACTACCCCACCAGAGCACTGCGCTCCCAGAATGCAGGGTTACTTGTGGTTCGTAGAGTCTCCAAAAGTAGACTAGGAGCCAGAGCATTCAGCTATCAAGCTCCTCTCCTGTGGAAACAGGTTCCAGTTTGGGTTCAGGAGACAGACACCATCTCCACATTTAAGAGTAGGCTTAAGACTTTCCTCTTTGATAAAGCTTATAGTTAGGGCTGGCTCAGGTAGTCCTGAACCATCCCTTAGTTATGCTGCTAGAGGCCTAGACTGCCAAGGGACTTCTCTCTCTCCTTCACCCCCAACCGGTCGAGGCAGATGGCCGCCCACCCTGAGCCATGGTTCTGCTCGAGGTTTCTGCCTCTCAAAAGAACTTTTTCCTTGCCTCTGTCGCCTAGTGCTTGCTCTTGGTGGGAACTGTTGGGTTTCTGTAAATATCATCACAGAGTACGGTCTAGACCTGCTCTTTTATGAAAAGCGCTCAGATAAACTGTTGTTGTGATTTGGCGCTATATAAATAAAATTGAATTGAATTGAACTAACAAGGTAAACGCCTCCTAACTAGCAAGGTAAACGCCTCCTTACTAATGAGGTAAATGCCTCCTTACTAATGAGGTAAACGCCTCCTAACTAGAGAGGTAAACGCCTCATTACTAATGAGGTAAACGCCTCCTTACTAATGAGGTAAACGCCTCCTAACTAGAGAGGTAAACGCCTCCTTACTAATGAGGTAAACGCCTCCTAACTAGAGAGGTAAACGCCTCCTTACTAATGAGGTAAACGCCTCCTAACTAAACGCCTTCTTACTAACGAGGTAAACGCCTCCTAACTAAACGCCTTCTTACTAATGAGGTAAACGGCTCCTTCCTAATGAGGGAAATTCCTCCTTACTAACAAGGCTGCACAGAGAGAGCGATGCAGCGCTTGGCCTTGCCTGCAGTCAGATGGGTGGTGCGGGTGGAGATGTTGACTTCCTGCAGTGGTTCCAAGGTCTCTGTGTGAAACAGGTGGATGGACGAGCCCTGGGTGAAGGCCATCCACACACCCCCTCCTGAACGAACCATGTGGCTAACACTGCAGCCAGGATCAGTGTGGGCTTCAAAACTCTGCAGGGGGGGAGAGAGTGAAGGAGGGAAGGAGGGGAGTGAGAGAGGGAAATATGCCAGGGTTATCATGGAAACGACACATCATACTCAAGTCAGCCCTTTATTAGCTTGCAAACATTAGATTTCAGCCAATTTAGCCTGTTTGCAAGTCAATAAAGTTCCAAATTTCAAACTTCCAGGTGATGTTTCACAAAGGTTTCCACAAACTGTATGTCTGAGACGAGATGAACACTTCCTGTTGTAAGAGCAGGATGAGTCCATCTCTTCAGGACTGAATACTGGTCTTCTTCAGTGGAAACACTGAGTGGGAGAGCTTATTAAGTTTAAGTGAATATTAGCAAACACACAAATACATTTACTGAGCTTTTTTTATATGTTCGCTCAAATGACATTATTATAAGCATGATAATTTTATCCCACTGTGCACTCAGAAAGAAGGCGAATATAACACCACAGGGTTCTCCATCACCAGCGCTAACACAGACGGGGATGTTACTCAACTGTGTACTTCTGACCATGAAATCTTGTTTCCCATTGATTTAAATTAAATATGTACTCATCAAAACGGCACTATATCCATTATACTAGCTGCTAACTAGGGCTATTGCGATAACCGCAATACTGAAATAGCCAACCACAGGAGAACAACCGCTACGTTCAAATAAATCAATGCTTTAAATATTTGACCAGCAACATCATGAGGTAATGCTCCAAGTAAGGAAGGATAGCCACGGGCTGTCTGCGCCCCGACTTTAAAACTGGAATTTGTTTTAGGTTGTTTTACTGTTTAATTTGTTAGCTGGACTAATGTTGTAATACTGAGGGCCAGTCGGGAGAAACTGTAGGAACATTAAGCCTCATTAGAAGCAAACTAAATAATGAGAGTGGTGCCTGGAACCGTTCTTCATGTTCTGTCTTTAACATTACTACAGCGCAGGTGTTAGTTGTTAACATTATAGCAGTAGTGTATGTAGTATGTAGTAAAACCCATTCTGCTGTATGTAAACATACTCAATAGACATGCCCCGAAGGTAACCTGGGCTCTGTTTCAGAAAGCAGGCTTAACAAACTTTGAGTTTAATGAGCCTGATGGCATGGTTTGCTTGGAGATGAAAAAAAGCCATCATCAATGGAGCTCCGATACTACTATTCACCATGGCAACAGGTAAATAAAAGCAGAGCCTCCATTTTAATTGGTTGGAGCTATAAATATGCCAACGTGGACCATGATAGGCTCTAAAACGCAGGAGTGAAAGAAGGATCAATGCTTTTTAGGCAACTATACAGCGTTGCTCATTCATCATTTACCAGACTGGACTTTCCTTAATGAATGATAAAGTGCTACAGCCCATTACATTCGATTCTAAATAGGAAGGCTACATTTATTAAGCTGTAACCAGACGGGACTAAATGCCGGTGGCTACCTAATTATGAAAATAGGTATAAATCAAATATAAGACACAGTTTACTTGTGAACCTGTGATTGTAAAGTCACAGTCACACCCAGCAGGTTAGCCTATTAGCCTAATTATTTTTTGCAGTGGAAAATGTGTCTATAAGTTAAAGATTTTGATGTCTATTTTACATTAATAAAATCTTGCTCATTTTGTATTTTAGTAATGCTGTCAAAACACATTCAGACTGTCAACAAGTTGGCCTAATAATGAAAAACTCACTTTTAAACCTTAGTTAGGCCTGTTTAGCTGCACCACAGTCATCCTCACTCAGAAATACTCACGTTATCTCCAGTAGGCCTATGATAACTACGATAGGAATGTTCCGATCAGTGCGACTACAATATGAAAGATTACTGTTCATTGATCAGTTTTTTAGGTTACATATTTAACAGTGATTACTGCAGTAATTTAGCCCACAGTAAGTGTTTTCAGTGCAACTGTCCACAGAGTCGCAACGTTAACCTAAAGACGGACACAGATTGTTTTCTGTGCTGAGGATAAATCCACGATGTGCGGAAATCTGTCCTTACATCGATGACAGATTGATCATAAAGCGGTCATGTTCAAGATCATGTTTGGGTAAAAAAACTAATAGTCTATCTAACCAGGATTTTAAAGTTTTTAAAGATGTAAATGCTCTCAGATATGTGCTTTGATATCGACAGAATGAATGAGGAAATGAAACGGTGTGTCAGGCAGCTGCCTCAGGCTCCGCAGGAGGGGAGGAGTCAGAGAGAAACTGCCGGTTTTCCTCCTGAGGAGGTTAGGTTCACAGCATCAGTTGCCAGAGTTACTGATCTAGGGATTATCTGATCTCGCCCTCTGAAACAGAAAACCCAGAGTTTCCCTCATCCCGGGCTTAACATACTCAGAATTTTCACTAATCCTGCTTTCTATGGGGCCCATAGCTACGTGTGGAAAAACTCCAGGTCAAACTGCAGGAATAAATTTGCTCAGCAGTGTTGTGTAACTGTAACTAGCAGCTAGCTTGTTCAGACAGTTAGCGGTTCGCTGGGCAATGAGGCGAGATCCACAGATACACATTATTACATTACTGCACCAAATTACTGCATTTATCATATATATTTATCATGCTGAGGTGTGGATCCAAATGCAAACCAACAGCGATGAGAATGCAGTTTTAAATTCAATTTATTTAAACAAACAAAACAGGCTTACATCCAAGCACAAGGCAAAAGTCCAAACACATGTAAATCCAATCAAACATAATCCAAAGGGTACAGGGAATCCAAGAAACCAGGGAAAAGAGCTTAGGCAGAAACACTCAACAAACAACAAGGGCACAACATAGACAGAAGTGAACTGAGGGTTTAAATGCACAGGCAAACAAGCACAGAGGGAGTGCACAGGTGAATGACATGAGCAGCTAATTAGGCACAGCAGACACACAGGCTGCGTTCGAAAAGTATTTTTTGCTTCCTAACTGAGTGAAGTGAACCAGAAGTATTTCAGTGGCAGCCATGATAAGAGCTGGTCGAGCTAAGGAAAGGAGCCTCAATGCTTCCTTTCATATCTCTTTTAGCATAGGGTACACCGGACCATCCTTTACGAAAGGAAAGGATAGAATGCCTTACCACAATTCCTTGCGGTGGCAACATTTAAAATGGTGCACGTTCTCAAACTCAAATGATAAAATCCATCAAACACATTTAGCAAGATCCTGCAATATAGACGCACATGATGATACTTTAATAAGACTCACAATTACCTTCTTTCTTTTGGTTCGTTTTCTTTTGGCTTTGCTGTTTCAACACCGTTTTATGTTTCAGGTTGTTGAAATAAGCCATAAAGTGTTTTCGACAAGACGACCATGACGGATAAAGGAGGTTGATCACCATGTAAGTTACCATTGGCTATTAAGCCTTTTCATAACTTGCTAATATGCATATATCTTAAACTGTCAACAACAGACCTAACTGAGACCCATGCCAGCTGTCATTCTGTGGGAAACACTGTACTTCCATACAATTGGGAATCATGTTGATAAATAGGCCTACAGTGGGTACGGAAAGTATTCAGACCCCTTTAAATTTTTCACTCTTTGTTTCATTGCAGCCATTTTCCAAAAATCAAAAAAGTTCATTTTATTTCTCAGTAATGTACACTCAGCACCCCATCTTGACAGAAAAAAAAACAGAAATGTAGAAATTTTTGGAAATTTATTAAAAAAGAAAAACTGAAATATCACATGGTCATAAGTATTCAGACCCTTTGCTCAGTATTTAGTAGAAGCACCCTTTTGATCTAATACAGCCATGAGTCGTTTTGGGAAAGATGCAACAAGTTTTTCACATCTGGATTTGGGTATCCTCTGCCATTCCTCCTTGCAGATCCTCTCCAGTTCTGTCAGGTTGGATGGTAAACGTTGGTGGACAGCCATTTTCAGGTCTCTCCAGAGATGCTCAATTGGGTTTAAGTCAGGGCTCTGGCTGGGCCATTCAAGAACAGCCACGGAGTTGTTGTGAAGCCACTCCTTCGTTATTTTAGCGGTGTGCTTAGGGTCATTGTCTTGTTGGAAGGTAAACCTTCGGCCCAGTCTGAGGTCCAGAGCACTCTGGAAAAGGTTTTCGTCCAGGATATCCCTGTACTTGGCCGCATTCATCTTTCCTCTCGATTGCAACCAGTCGTCCTGTCCCTGCAGCTGAAAAACACCCCCACAGCATGATGCTGCCACCACCATGCTTCACTGTTGAGACTGTATTGGACAGGTGATGAGCAGTGCCTGGTTTTCTCCACACATACCGCTTAGAATTAAGGCCAAAAAGTTCTATCTTGGTCTCATCAGACCAGAGGATCTTATTTATCACCATCTTGGAGTCCTTCAGGTGTTTTTTAGCAAACTCCATGCGGGCTTTCGTGTGTCTTGCACTGAGGAGAGGCTTCCGTCGGGCCACTCTGCCATAAAGCCCCGACTGGTGGATTGCTGCAGTGATGGTTGACTTACTACAACTTTCTCCCATCTCCCGACTGCATCTCTGGAGCTCAGCCACAGTGACCTTTGGGTTCTTCTTTACCTCTCTCACCAAGGCTCTTCTCCCCCGATAGCTCAGTTTGGCCAGACGGCCAGCTCTAGGAAGGGTTCTGGTCGTCCCAAACGTCTTCCATTTGAGGATTATGGAGGCCACTGTGCTCTTAGGAACCTTAAGTGCAGCAGAATTTTTTTGTAACCTTGGCCAGATCTGTGCCTTGCCACAATTCTGTCGCTGAGCTCTTCAGGCAGTTCCTTTGACCTCATGATTCTCATTTGCTCTGACATGCACTGTGAGCTGTAAGGTCTTATATAGACAGGTGTGTGGCTTTCCTAATCAAGTCCAATCAGTATAATCAAACACAGCTGGACTCAAATGAAGGTGTAGAACCATCTCAAGGATGATCAGAAGAAATAGACAGCACCTGAGTTAAATATGAGTGTCACGGCAAAGGGTCTGAATACTTATGACCATGTGATATTTCAGTTTTTCTTTTTTAATAAATTTGCAAAAATTTCTACATTTCTGTTTTTTTCTGTCAAGATGGGGTGCTGAGTGTACATTACTGAGAAATAAAATGAACTTTTTGATTTTTGGAAAATGGCTGCAATGAAACAAAGAGTGAAAAATTTAAAGGGGTCTGAATACTTTCCGTACCCACTGTAAATGCTCCGTATTTGTATTACGCCTTTCTAGTCTTTTTGACCACTCAAAACCACTCATTCATACACTGGCAGAACACTATCTTGCCCAAGGACACTTCGACATGCAGCCTGGAGGAGCTGGATTGAACCACGACCTTCCGATTAACAGCCAACCCGCTCTATCTCCTAAGCCACAGCCGCCCCGCAGAGAGTTTGCATGCTTAAAAGCGCAAGGAGATAACTGTTGTTGTAAATTGGCACTATATAAATAAAACTTAATTAAACATGTTAAACATGCGAGTACAAACACTCACACACGTCCCCACAGAGCTGAAGTCCTGTGGAGACGGAGGGGGAAGCAGGGGAGACGTAGTAACATGTGGCGTTCATTGTTAAAAGGAAATGACACGCTGAGCTGATCACGACTGGTACACACAAGCTTTCTCCACTGTAGTGTCACCTGTGAAACGCTGGTATGTCCTGCTGCTGTCCTGTCCTACTTACAGGTGAGCTGGCGTACCTGTTTGTTGAGGCTGGGTCCTTGGATGACAGCGACTTGGTTGGCACAGCTGGCCCACACAGTGTCTTCAAGTGTCAGCAGACTGCAGACCGGCTCCGAGCCCAGAGACACCAGCCTGCATGTGTCCACGTCCCACAGTCTCTCTGAGGAGGAACGGTACGGGTTAGAACTGGTTCGGAACTCTCTGCTCCAGCAGCACTGCTGCAGAGTAACATTCTCTCACCTCCACTTCTTCTGTGGTACACGGCGACGTTCCCGCTGGCCAGTCCAGCGAACAGGAAGGACAGCGAGTGTTTCAGGCAGAGGACGGGATGGCTGTCAGGGTTCACCAGGGTCAGCAGGCACTCGACAGCTGTGTCCACGCTGCTGTACACCTGGATGCTGTGAAGACAAGAAGTCAAATACAACTGAAGAAAGAGTTCAACACTTGTCAGATGTCCAGATGCAGCGCCTCTAAAGCTCTCTGATAAACATGTTGGATCTGATTAGTTGGATCTGGACACAGCTGGAGCAGATTAGCATCAGATAGTAGGAGGACTGACCTGCCGTCCTGCAGCCCGACACAGATGATGTTTCCTGTCTTGGCTGCAGTCTGGCTCTTCTCCTCTGCACTGGGACACGGCTCCTTCACGTGTTCCAGACAGAGGACCGGGGCCCTCACCGGGACGGTTTTCACCAGGCGAGGAGAGGCTCGGTTCAGGGAGAAGATCTCTACTTGGCCGTGGCCGGAGCTGCCTCCTCCCCCAGCCACCTGAATGCCACGACAACAACAGAAATAAAAATTAATGATGACAGCGTTTACATAGGTGTTCCTGATGGGGTTGTTTGACTATAGATGCAGAAATACTTTGTCGCTTAAGCAGCACAGGCTAGGAATGGTCCACTTGTACTTACCCAGAGGTAACCCTGTGGTAGGGACGTACTGGCAGAGCAGAAACCCAGCAGGCTAGACTGAGATGGACTGTGAAGGGCCCCCTCCAGCTATAAACACAAACAGACAGACTGGATTACTGCAGGATTATAGAAACACAAGCGGGACTCCAGAAACACAAGCGGGACTCCAGAAACACAAGCGGGACTCCAGAAACACAAGCAGGACTCCAGAAACACACAAGGAGGATTATAGAAACACAAGCGGGACTCCAGAAACACACAAGGAGGATTATAGAAACACAAGCGGGACTCCAGAAACACACAAGGAGGATTATAGAAACACAAGCGGGACTCCAGAAACACACAAGGAGGATTACAGAAACACAAGCGGGACTCCAGAAACACAAGCAGGACTCCAGAAACACACAAGCAGGATTATAGAAACACAAGCAGGACTCCAGAAACACAAGCAGGACTCCAGAAACACACAAGCAGGATTATAGAAACACATGCGGGACTCCAGAAACACAAGCAGGACTCCAGAAACACACAAGCAGGATTTTAAAAACACAAGCGGGACTCCAGAAACACACAAACAGGATTATAGAAACACATGCGGGACTCCAGAAACACACAAGGAGGATTATAGAAACACAAGCGGGACTCCAGAAACACACAAGCAGGATTATAGAAACACAAGCGGGACTCCAGAAACACAAGCAGGACTCCAGAAACACAATCGGGACTCCAGAAACACACAAGCAGGACTCCAGAAACACAATCGGGACTCCAGAAACACACAAGCAGGATTATAGAAACACAAGCGGGACTCCAGAAACACACAAGCAGGATTATAGAAACACATGCGGGACTCCAGAAACACACAAGCAGGATTATAGAAACACAAGCGGGACTCCAGAAACACAAGCAGGACTCCAGAAACACAAGCGGGACTCCAGAAACACACAAGGAGGATTATAGAAACACAAGCGGGACTCCAGAACCACAAGCAGGACTCCAGAAACACACAAGCAGGATTATAGAAACACATGCGGGACTCCAGAAACACAAGCAGGACTCCAGAAACACACAAGCAGGATTATAGAAACACAAGCGGGACTCCAGAAACACACAAGCAGGATTATAGAAACACAAGCGGGACTCCAGAAACACAAGCGGGACTCCAGAAACACAAGCAGGACTCCAGAAACACACAAGGAGGATTATAGAAACACAAGCGGGACTCCAGAAACACACAAGGAGGATTATAGAAACACAAGCGGGACTCCAGAAACACACAAGGAGGATTACAGAAACACAAGCGGGACTCCAGAAACACAAGCGGGACTCCAGAAACACAAGCGGGACTCCAGAAACACACAAGGAGGATTATAGAAACACAAGCGGGACTCCAGAAACACACAAGGAGGATTATAGAAACACAAGCGGGACTCCAGAAACACACAAGGAGGATTACAGAAACACAAGCGGGACTCCAGAAACACAAGCGGGACTCCAGAAACACACAAGGAGGATTATAGAAACACAAGCGGGACTCCAGAAACACACAAGGAGGATTATAGAAACACAAGCGGGACTCAAGAAACACAAGCAGGACTCCAGAAACACACAAGCAGGATTATAGAAACACAAGTGGGACTCCAGACACACAAGCAGGATTATAGAAACACAAGCAGGACTCCAGAAACACACAAGCAGGATTATAGAAAGACAAGCGGGACTCCAGAAACACAAGCAGGACTCCAGAAACACAAGCAGGACTCCAGAAACACACAAGCAGGATTATAGAAACACAAGCGGGACTCCAGAAACACACAAGGAGGATTATAGAAACACAGGAGGACCAGGTTGGTAGAGGTAGAGCGGGTTGCCCGTTAATCGGAAGGTCAGCGGATCAATCCCCGGCTCCTCCTGGCTGCACTTGGACAAGATTCTGAACCCCGATTTTCCCCTGGTGGCTGTTCCACCAGTGTGTGAATGTTTGTTTCTGTTTGAAACTAAACTTAGGCTCAGTGAATGAATGTGTGTGAATGCAGATGTAGTGTATAAGCGCTTTGAGTGGTCGAAAAGACTAGAAAGGCGCTATAAAAATACGGAGCATTTACATTTACATATGAGGTATAACGGTATATTATTGTGCATCACATTTTGTTGATGTTATACAGTAATCCAAAAGTAATGTAACTAGTAGTGTTACTGTTACTGTTACTAATGCTTTGATTGATTACCAACATGTATTTATTTATTTATTCAACTATGCACTTCATTTTTCATTTATTCATATATTTATTATTTTATTAATTCATATTTTTGGTCCTGTTTTAATTTATTTTAGTGTTTATCTATGTATTTGTTTGTTTATTGAAGATTAAGTATAAAACAGGGACACAGCATTGCGTCATCAAACACGACGATCTGGTCGTGGAGAGACAGTATAAAATGGATCACCAACATTTGCGATGGTCTCAGTTTCATCATCCTGTAATGCCTTTTCACGGTTTGTTTTCCTAGAATTAATTTTGATGTTGAAACGCTGAAGCCTCCTCTGCACTGTCTGACGTAAACACCAGTTCTGCTCTCTGGCCTGTAAACTGTCTATCAATCAGTGCAGAAACCACACGTTAAAACCACAGACACACTGAGCAGACACTATACCACAACAGCCTCGTATTATTATATACTTACAGATAAGATATACTTTATTTATTAATCCCACGAGGGGAAACTCAGTGTTTATTAATATGATAGAATATGAATGCCAGCAGCAGTGCTTACCTTCAGTCTGTGTGTCCTTGAGGAGAAGACAGGAAGTGTGCAGGTCAGCAGTGGACAATTGAACGGAGCTTTTGTCTTCCCATCTTCTTCAGCACCTTCCCAGCCCCGAGTGTTTTCCTGTCCTGAGCACACAAACCAGTTCATTATCATCGCTGGACCATCCAAGGAAGATTCAAATCAAGGGCAGCTGGACTGATTGAAGATACTCAAAGACAACAAAGACGATGAACCAGGCTATATCCATCACCATGATAACGACCCCACAGAGGTTAAACAGCTGGGAATTTCTGCCAGCCAGTCAGGACTGAAGAAGCCTCTCGGATGAGGGGCAAAACGTCTTCGAGTGTCTTCAACCAAGTCCAGCTGACCTTGACTTTAACCTTCCTTGACTTGGATAACTGAGAACCTTCACAGACATCCCTGAACCATGGTTAGTCACCAGGCACAGGCCCAGGGGCCCAGGGGCATCTGGGAGCCCTAAAAATTATGTATTTAATTTAGTTAAAATAAAATATCAAAATGAAAATATCAAAAATCAAATGACATTCACTTATAGATCAGACTACTGCTGTTATTGAGCTGTGCTGTATAAAAGAAGAGGGCATGCTCCACTGCACTGACACCAAAACATTTTCTCTTATTCCACCTACAAAGGCGGCTCAGTCGTCACCACATTTCACAAAGCTGCCTACATCCCATAAGCACATCATCATTCCTGCATGATGTGTTTATGGTCCAGAATTCATAGCAGCTTTCTGATAAACTGTACCCCACTATTAAAACCAGGCAGGTGAAAAGAAAGCAGCCAGGCGGGTTTACTGGCCAAAAACCTCAAAACCACAAGTCTTCCAGCACAAATGAGCACACAGCGTATGTGAGGTAGTTTTAGGGGGCATTCACACCTGCCTCATTCAGTGAGGCTCAGTCGCACTAGAGTCCGTTTTTCCTCCTTGGTGCGTCCATTTGGGAAGGTGTGAAGCAATCGCATCATAAACGGACCAAACAAGTGCACGCAGACCTGGTGCTCTTGAACTTTGGTACGGTACATTTAAGGTGTGAACGCGGCCCTATCTGGATCTGACCCAATTGCAGAAAGCACTGCAAGTGTTGTGTTTGTTACGTTTGATAGCCATTGTGAAATGGAAGTGGAGACGCTGCCTGACTGATATTTGGGCAGATGACCGTATATCCCAGCTTCCAGAGAGGATGTGTTCAGGAGAGGGAATGTGAGTGGTCTCCCGCACAGTGCCACATTAATGTGAAAGAAAGTAAAAGAACAAAAATTGCACTATAGAAGATGAATGGATGACCTCAACACACATGTGGGTTAGTTAAAGGGAACAAAAAAATCAACACTGTATTTGGTGTTGACCAAAGCAAGTGAACTCCCCTGGTCTGAATGCGCCCTGAGCAACCTGGGGTCTAAAGGTTTATCGCAAAAAAAGTCAAGTCAGTACAAGTGAAAATACACGTTGAAGGTGATTTCTAATAATTAGTGGATTATTTTCACTGTGAGACCAGCCAAGACAGTGTTGGCTGTTATCTATATGCGAGAATGTAAATGCTTTTGTATAGCCTTTCCGACCACTTTCACTTTTCATTCACCATTCGTTCACAATTGCTCAAACAGATACTAACATTCACACACACACACTGGCGAAACAGCCACCAGGGGCAAATCAGGGTTCATTATCTTGCCGTGACGTGCAGCCTGGGGGAGCCGGGGATTGAACCGCTGACATTCTGATTAACAGGCAACCTGCTCTATCTCATGAGCCACTGTTGGAGCCTGTGAGTGTGTACACGCACGCACGCACGCACGCACGCACTGAACTTACTCTGAGCTATCTTGGCGAGGTGCAGCCGGTTCACCCAGGAGATCTTGCTGATGGGACTGGGGGTGTTGAAGACCACCATGACGCTCACCGGACGACCGGACCTGAGAGCAGAAAGTAAATGTGAGGCTTCACACCTGGGCCTGGTAAACACCTGACCACAGCTGAGTCTGAGCCTGTCCTGTGTGAACCTCCTGACACTCACTTGTCAGGTTTTCCCGGTACAGACAGACGCAGGCGACACTTGTTGGCGTTCTGGATCTCCTCCTCCTTCAGACGGATGAGCCTCTGCAGAGCCAGACACCAGTCCTGAGACACCGTGGTGTTCAGATTCTGAAAGCGACACAAGAAGGGAAAGGAAGGGCGGTTAGACCGTCTCCCCATCTGAGCAGGCTGAAGAGCTGTTACCAAGGTTATTCAGGTGTTTTATGGGAAACCACATCAGACACAAACATTCAGAGTATGTTCATGTCTCACAGCATGAGAGATCTTTAATGTAGAAGTCACTTATAAAATGCTTTACAGCAGGATGAGAAGAGAACAACCACAACATGAGCTGAGAGGACCCGTTGTTACCTGGTAGGTTCCATTGAGCGTGCCCACCAGCAGAGACACCTCCTCCACCACGGCCAGGTCGTGCTGCAGCTCCTCCAGCTCCTGGTACAGTCTGGGTGGACCCAGGAACACTTTTCCTGAAAAACGGGGGGTCAGCGTTACACCTGGACATCATCACAATAATCTGATGGCCTCTACTGTGCTGACTACCTCTGACACTACGAGTCAATAAACTGATCAGAACAGAAGCAAATAATAATAATAACAGTGTGGGTGCGAGATGGCAGGCTAGAAGTTGACAGTGTATGGCAGCCAGATGTTGGGCTGTGTACCCGTGGGGCTGGAGGTGGAGCTGTGGCGTCGGCCTGCGATGACGCTGTCCTGGCCCTGCAGACTGTCCTGTCCCACCTCCACCACCTGAGTCTGCAGCAGAGGGCAACACCACTTCACCGAGTACTTGGGACCAACAGGAACCAGGCTGCTGATGTCAGGGGGACCCCTGGTGGACAAACACATGTTCAGCTCCAGCTGTCAGGGCTTGCTGTACCTGCAGGTTGTCGGTCAAGATTCATACTCTCCACAGAAGGCTGATGAACTGCTTCATAAACAGCAACGTCTCATTTCTACATCGTTATCTTAATCACAATAATTAACACATAGATGATACAGCTTTGGAGTTTCCCCCTGCTTCCGTTCTTCATGCTAAGCTAGGCTAAGCATGTATTTGACCGACCCCTGTAAAACACACTGACGAGACAGCAGGAGAGGTTCTGCAGCTTCAGGGTTCAGAGTGACTTACTTCAGGTTGACGTTGGCACAGATCAGCGTGTCGTTGAGGAGGAAGACCTTTCGCTCCCTCGACTTGAGAATCTGACCTTTATCACCATAAACGATTTCCGTCAGCAGCTCACACTGAATCAGCTGCCTCTGTTCCGAGTTCAGCAGCTGTAAACACAAAGCACGTCCCAGGTTACAGCAGAGCCTTCCCACCACGCTCACTCCATGCATAGACATCAGTAGATGAGCTCCTGTAGAGCCTGTTCTGAATGAGATTCTGTGCCAGCTCAACTACAGTTCCTGGGTTCCTGATGTACAAACGGACAAAATGCTTCTTTGAGTCTGCAGACAAGTTAACATGAAGACAAAGGATAGCTAAGTTTAGTTTGGATACACGCAGCTTCCCATAGCTTCTGTTCACCAGACAAATACATTTATTTACTAGATGCAATGTGATCTAACAAGCCTAAACGCAATTTCATATGAGTGCAACAGCATCTGTATTTAATCCGTTTGGAAGGAAGGTGCAAACCAACTGAGATGGAAGAATTTAGAAAGTGGCGTGGCACTGCAGCGGTGCATGGATCACGCGTAAAATTCATCCAGCCAGAGGGAACGATCACAAACTATTCCCAGCGTACCGGTCGTAATAGCTGCACAACCCATTGTAGGTATCGGAGGGGGAATGGGGCGTACAGGGACAGGAGATCACAGAGCAACCATGCACGCTGCAGACGGTCGGTGATTGTTCCCTTTCGAGGGAACTCGAACTGCGTCGGTGACGACACTATGGGAACGCCTCTGGGCGTGGCAGGGCTGAACTATGAATGAAACTACTCCAATCCTATTGGTGTTACTAGAACGGTAGTGTGTGACGGCGTAACCGGAGGGGGTATATAAGCACACCGGCACATAGGACACATTAGCTTCTTTCTATTCAGCAGGCACTCTGGCTATGTTTGGAAGCTCCATCATCCTACCTGAAGTCGAGACGAAGCAGATCATGTCGAAGCGTTTCTGACAGTGTGTCTTTCCATGTGAGCTTTTCATCACGGAAGGGGATACTCATGGGATGTGCGTCTCATGCCTGGGGATGTCGCACACCCAGGCAGCTCTCGAGGGGGCTGCCTGCGACCATGCGAGGCCCTGCCCCTGAGGGTGCTGAGGTCTCGAGCGGCTCTTTTTCTAGAGGACGGTCGGATGCGCTCTCCCCATGGCACAGGCCCCGCAGTAGCTGAGGCGTCGCGGCGGCTCTGATCCTGGGGATCACAACGCGAGATCACCGAGGGTGCCGGAACGGCTGAGGCCTTTTTCCGGTCCTCGTCCGCGGAATCCTCCTCCCCTCGTCCCCGATCGTGAGCCCCTTTCTCGGTTTCTCCCACGTGGAACAAACCCTTCTCTCCACAGCTGTCTACGTCCCCCCGGGCGGACTACAGCAACGTGACGGAGATCAGACAGCACGGCTACGGAGCGATGCCACGAGTGGAGGAGGCACTTGCTAGCTACCTCTCTCCCAACCTCGCCTCATCCCTCCGGATGCCGCCGCAGCCAGAAGCAGAGCGTCGCTTCACGGGATCCCCTTCAACCAACCTGGGACGCAAGACGGCGCTCTCGCCCATAGCCCCCGGGAAGACGGATCTGAGGACCGTCATTCAGTCTCGGCGGGCCCGGGGAAAGACATCCTGAGACTTCGAGTGGCGGTCCTCCGCTTCAGGGCGCCACCAGGGATTCCCTTGGCAAATGTCGCGGGAGCTTGGTGAAGCCAAACATTTCCCCGTGGGTCCTGCGCACAGTAGTAGATGGCTACAGGCTGCAGTACACGCAGAACAGAGCCAGGTGTTGGGACAGGAAGTCCGCTCTCTGCTAAAGAAAGGGGCCATAGAACTCATTTCCCCGCCGGTCAGAGAAGCTGGCTTCTACAGCCGATACTTCCTGGTTCCCAAGAAGGACGGAGGATTGCGTCCGATTTTGGTTCTGCGGTCCCTGAACCAATCTCTGAGGAGATTCAGGTTCAGGATGCTTACCATCCCCGCCATCATCAGTCACATCCAAACTGAGGATTGGTTTGTCACAGTCGCAGTTAGGCCGCGCCATCACTGTAAAACACTTTCAGAGGGTGTTGGGTCTCCTGGCAGCAGCGTCCAGTATAATACCTTCCGGGCTACTGAACATGAGAGCCCTGCAGTGGTGGCTAAAATCCGCTCCATCTGATACGGGTTACGAGCGGGTGCCTTCGTTCCCTGTCTGTATGGAGGAAATCTTGGTTCCTGGCCCAAGGTCCCGTGTTGGGAGCGATCTGTCACCGAACAATTATTTCGACAGATGCCTCGCTCTGACGGGCAGCTGACGGGGCTCCTGGGAGGAGCATCATTTCTCTTGGCACATAAAATGCCTGGAAATGTTGGCGGTTTTCAGAGCTCTGAGGAGTTTTCTGCCTGCCCTCCGCGGTCGCCACATCCTTGTCAGAACAGACAATACGGCAGTGGTGGCCTATTTGAATCACCAGGGGGGTCTGTCTACTACTAGTAGCCCCGTTTTGGCCGGCACGAGTGTGGTTCTCGGATTTAATATTGCTCCTCAAGGGCCCGCCCTGGCAGGTCCCTCTGAGGAGAGACCTGCTGTCCCAGACGGAGGGCCGGATCTTTCACCCGCACCCCGCCCTGTGGCAGCTATGGGTCTGGCCCCTGAGGGGCGCAGTTCCTAGAGGCGGGCCTGACGACAGGAGCAGTCGAGACGGTGCTCAGCTCCAGAGCCCTGTCCACGAGAAGGATGTACGGCCTAAAGTGGAATGTGTTCACCACCTGGTGCAGAGAATGGGCAGTGGACCCAGTTACCTGCTCGGTAATTGTGATAGTGGAGTTCCTCCAGCACTGTTTCTCCGCTGGCCTCTACCCATCCACGCTCAAAGTGTATGTGGCTGCCATTGCAGCATTCCACGCCCCTCGGAGTGATGGGCCCTTGGGGAGGCTTCCACTGGTCGTGCGCTTCCTCCGTGGAGCCCGGAGGGTGAGACCCTTGACTCGTTCCAGGGTTCCCACCTGGGACCTGGCAGTGGTTCTCGAGGCGCTGGCTGAGGCCCCCTTCGAACCCCTGGAGTCAGCTGAGGCCAAGCACCTGACCCTTAAGATGACCTTTCTCCTCGCTATCACCTCTCTGAGGAGGGTGGAGGATCTCCAGGCACTTTCGGTTTCTCCCCGATGCCTGGAGTTTGCCCCGGGGAGGGTCAGGGCCATCCTGCACCCTTGTGCAGGTTATGTCCCTAAGGTTCCGGCCAGATTGGCAGGGTCCATGGTGCTGCAGGCATTTCATCCCCCACCTGATGTGACGGCGGAGGACGGGAGACATCATCTGCTCTGCTCTGTCAGAGCACTGAGTATTTACACTCTGAGGAAAGCAGACCAGTTGCTGGTGTGTTTCGGGTCTCCCAAGGCTGGGCTCCCCGCTTCTAAACACACTATCAGCAACTGGATCGTTCAGACTATTTCCCTGGCCTATCAGGTGCGCGGTTTGCCTTCACCTATGGCCGTAAGGGCGCACTCTACTTGAGGCATGGCGGCTTCCAGGGCCCTCCTCGCAGGGACGTCACTCCAAGATTTGTGTGACGTGGCTGGCTGGGCCACCCCTCACACTTTTATCCGGTTTTAGTCTGGACCTTCCTTCTGCACCCAGCACCCGTGCGCTCTCCTCCTAGTCGTACCGTCAGGTTCTGCACGCTGGTGGCAGGCGGGGTTTCGGCGCGGCCAAAGTGAGTATCTAGTTCCCATAGCTTTGTTCCCCGAGAAGGGGAACGAGACACTGCGTCGGTCCGCCACACCTCACCCCGCCTGGAGTGCCTTGCTTCATAGAAAGGGCTAATGTGTCCTATGTGCCGGCGTGCTTATATACCCCCTCCGGTTACGCCGTCACACACTACTGTTCTAGTAACACCAATAGGATTGGAGTAATTTCATTCATAGTTCAGCCCTGCCACGCCCAGAGGCGTTCCCATAGTGTTGTCACCGAAGCAGTGTCTCGTTCCCCTTCTTGGGGAACAAGGGTTACATACGTAACCTGAGACGTTCCCTCTGGCTGGATGAAGCACGACCTGCTGGCATTTCCTCGCGTCTGGGTAATTCCAGCATACTGTAGCTGTTTCTGCTGGGGTTTCCCAAAGCAGTCTTTCAAGTGTGCTGTCCCAAGTGTGTAGTGCAATCTCAAGCAGGATGGGCAGGTACAGACGATTTCCACATACTGACGCACTGAATGAAACAAAACAAGGTTTTTACGCAGTGGCTGCTTTCCCTCCCGACGCTCCATGGCGGAAACTGTTAAAACACACAAACCCTCATTTAAATACTGCCACCTCCATTGTGTTTGCTCCTGTTGTCATCTACACAATAATTCTTAGTCACCCATTACAGGTACTAAAATTGCACGTGCAATATTTTTGAATGCACACGCAATTTAGTACTCTTTATTCGGATGTTAGTAAATCGGGCCCATTGTCGTGAAATCTATTGGACAGATTCATGCTCCTCAGAGGACGACCTCTGTTCATTTAGGCCACACCCACAGGAAATGGTGAATCCCAGCTCATGCAGGTGCATTATAAGGTGTCACCTTGTTGAGGTTGCGGTCCCCCACGCTGTGCGCTAATTGCTGGATCTCAGCTTCCTGGTCAGCCAGACGCTTCTGTTCGTTGAGTTTCTCAGCCAGAGTCTCCAGCTCCGTGAGAGCCAGCTGCAGGGGCAGCCGGTCAGTGTGGGATTCGGGAGTGTTCTTCAACATGTCCTGACAACAACAACAGCAAGGAGTGTGAACATAGTAAGGTACAGAGAGTCACTTTTGTATCGCCTGTACACTGGGATACAAAACAAAAGTGACCACAAAAAAAGAATTTAATAAAACAATCATCAACAGTTTCAGACACCTGGTGAAGGAAAGATGACCTAAAACACATGGTGAATGTACTGCAGCTGACAGGAAGCACTGCCTTTTACTTCCTCTTGTCAGAAAGTCCTCAAAATGAAACCAAATATTCCACTTTACTTCCCACCACACACCGCCTTCCTGAAAGACTCATTTCCTGTCTGAAAACGGCGTATTGTTCCAACGCACAATCAGCACTGATTTACAGGAGAGCAGACGTTTCAGTGTTTGGCTACTTTTACAAAGAACCAGCACGATGTGGAAATACAGATAAACACACTGGGATGAAGGCCCAACACTGAAATGTTGAAAATAAATGTAGTACTGCGAGTTAGACAGCGTGTTTATTAGCAGCTTGGGATTCACTCGCCTCTCTCTAGATGAGCAAAATGTGTGTCTGTTCTGAAATACGGTCATTAAAAGGCGTTAAAACTGTGGTGACTTGTTGTTTAGACATAAATCAATGAACAGATCCTGAAGGTCCAGGTGACATCCCACCAACCTATGATGACCGCAGACCATGTTTTGTTCTCCATTTCATTTGAAACTAGTGTCTAAATCCACAGTTCCAGAGGACGACTGCAGAACTGCGATGGGTGTGAGCCGCCCCCTCTCAGGTGTGTGAGTCTCACCTGCAGCAGCAGGATGAACTGAGGGAAGCGCTGGATGGGTTTGACCATCAGGCCATACAGAGTGATCCTGTCCGGACTGGACGCCTGCTTCTTCTGAAAGTCACATGGAGAGCAGATTCAGTCAGATTTTCAGATCCAACATTGAGGTGCATGTGTGTCCTCTCATGTTAACAACATTAACCACTTTCTCTTTTTAACCCAGTGCCTAATACTGTGCTGTTTACTTTTGTCTACATAATAACAGTGCTCACACAGCTCAAAGAGAGTCTATATTTACATAACTACAGCATTCAGTCATTTCTGTAGTTCTGTAATCACAGGACGGAAACATCGGCTCAAGTTCCCATTAGAAACTCACTTTATTCCTGCTTCACGTGTCTGCTCAGTCTCATTGAGATGATGGTGAAAGTGGTTATGATAATTATTGTTACTATTTTACTTTATTTTATTTAATGAATGTTTTAAACTGACATTTTTAATAAACCACTCTCATTATTTTTCTATGTTTAGCAGCTGAATATTTTACATTAAGAAAAGCCTTTGTCCCAGATTCCTGGTGAAAAAGCATTTTTTCTTCTTCATATCACATGTCTTCACTGTATACGTGTGTCTAATATTACAGTTCATCATGAAGGCTGCCTAACATTCATTTAAGCCGTGGAAACTGTAGAACACTATTTTTAATAAATCTTCAAAGTTGAGTTATCTGAACATTTTGAACATTAAACAGTTAATTTCCTACATTCTGGTGAATTTTTCTGCACCAAATTCCTGTTTAAAGGTTTTTATTTATGTAAAGGGAAACACAACTTAACTCCTGGACTTTAATAGCTCCTGTGTTTCAGCAGCTTTTCTGCTCATGTTCCAAACTTTCTGTGCATTCAGTTGTCTAAAAGACACAGAACTCGTCTTTTTTCCGTATTTTACCACCCGCGATCTGTTTTCATGGCAGCAGGTGAGCCGCTTGTTAATGAAGCAGCCAATCAAACAACCAAAACCAACATCTGCACCCTGAGTGTTCACTGCTGCTTCACCTGCTCCGTGCTGGGAAAATTTCTCCCAAGTTTTTAACCGAGTGAACACATGTACATAAGACGACCGCAAATCCCCCCCCCCAGTAATATCTCACACTAATCTGTAACAAATCATTTTCCTTACATTAAACACGTTACACGTTTAAAAAGAACTCAAACATCAGTCCTTCCTCCTTTCCACCTCTGGTTAATCTCAGTTTACAAAAATATGCCACATTTTAAGGTCTGTGTTCAACAGTTAGCCGAGTTAGCACGCTGTGTTTACAGCGGCAGATTAAAATATGGATGTTGACGTGTTCACATGGTCATGCTTGTTGAACAGGTGTATTAATGGAGAACTTGTTACTTATTAACTGGTTTTATTGCAGGTACTTAGAGTAACGAGTGTAGCTGCCGTCAACCACAGAAATCTTATCTTCACTGTCTGTGTGAACAGACAGAGGCTGCAGCCTGATAATGAACGGTCTGTGGCTCCGGGGCTGTTGAATAACACTCACTGTCTGAAAAACTGAAACAATACACAGTCCAGACTGTAATACACAGCTGGTGTGTTAGTCAAAATAAGGCTTCAGTTCCATGAAGTGAAAAACTCGACTGAAACCGTCCAAAGCGACGTGTTTAAAACGAACCTTCAGAAAGTCCAGGAACGCAGGTTTAGACATGCAGGCCTTCTTGATCAGTGCCATGGCATTGGTGAAGTTGTTGATGTAGTCACTGTACACGTTCAGCACCATGGACTTTGAAAACTGTGGAGGGAACAGTGTGACATCAGGAAATATTTCACCTGAAACTTCACCTGGACGCTCAGCAAAGACTAACAACTGATGTGCAAAAAAATGATGAACAAGACCTCTAGAATATTTTGACCTGAGCCATGATACATTTCACTCAGCGTGAACATCATGTAGCTTCAATGAAGTGTCACTAATCTTAAGGGTTAAGATACCAGAGGAAAATGGAGTTTTAACTGATAAAAAATATAAAATAATATCTGCTGTCCTTCTGATCCAGTTTTAAGTTTAAAGAAAAGGTCTTTTATTTCTTTACTATTATTATATATATTAACAATTTTTACCCACAGAAATAAATTTAGTACAACAACATGGCTGATGTCATCAGTGGGATCAGAGACTTTTAGGAATGTGTTACAAACGAGGGTTGTGAGTGATCATCTGGACAGTAAGAGGGAGGGAGAGTCAGAAGGAAAGACATGACAGAAGGAAGCACTGAAGGTAGGAAAGAAGGAAAGGTTTGTGACTGACCGAGGCGACAAACAGGTCTCCGATCCTCTCGCTGTGATCCCACTCGGCCACGCGGGAGGCCAGGGCAATCTGGAACATGGAATGGCACTGGTGGATCTCCTGCAGACGGTAAAAGACCTGACGCACCTTCCTGGGGCTCAGGATCCAGTTCTGCGTCTCTTGCAAAGGCTGCTGATACTCCTGACAGACAGAGAGAGGTCAGAGTGGCTTCCTGCACACCTGTGTTTACCTGTCTTTCAGCTGCTTTCAGCTGTGTGTACTTTGCACTTTCGTCATTTCTTAAAAGCGCCGAAATGGTTATTATCAACAGCAGCAACTGCTCCATCACCACTGCTGTTGGTTTAGTCCCCAGATGAACCGTGAACAGCATCCACGACCAGCAGGCCTCCTTCAGATACTGACTTCCTCCCACAGAAACAAAGCCGTGCAGTGTGTTACCTGAGCTGTGACTCACCTGGAGGATCCTCTTGAGAGACTCCAGGTAGCTGCTCTCACTCTGCACGATGGAGCTGAGGATGAGACGTCTGACCACCTGAGGAGGCACAGAGAAACTCCAAATCAGTCTGGAACAAAAACACCTGCAATACCTATCAAGGTGTTACACCACGACATCACTGCGTGCTGCACCTTCAATAAAACATAAAAGAAAAGGTGAAATTAAAATATCTCAACTACTGTTTTCACCGATTCTTTCCAGTCGCTTCTATTTTGCTTTATTGTTTTGATCGATGTTAAGCTTCCATCTCTGAAATTCAACTCTTTCTGTGATGCTTTACAAAAACAAACTCCCAGAAAGGAGGAGCACTGGGCTGCTTTGAGCTGCTAGAGGACTTTTAATGTGAAACATCTGCAAGTGTTGAGTTCCACTGACATCAGCTTAACAACAACAGAGCAAACAGAAAAGTAGAAGCTGTTAATAAGTGAAATTAACATTATCAGTGTTACAGAGAGATGGAGTTAGTGCTGAGATCCTGACTTTATTCAGACAATAGGTAAACAGGGCGATTAACAGGTTCTTCTTACTAAAACATGATAAAATATACAACAATAGAGGGTATGCGCATGACGTCACAGTTACGCAGTTACGCTCACTGAGTGGCAGAAAGACGAGCAGCAGTGTTGGCTTGAATCAGCTAAAACACAAACAACACATCTAAAATGGGAAAGAGCTGGACCACTGGTACTTTGGTAAGCAGTAAGGATCACTGTCGAGTCTGACTACCTTTAAGTTGAGCAAATAATCACTTGTTTTACTCCCGCTTTGCTAAAATAAGCCATGTTAACGGATGTTTTGCCACTCAGTCCAGCGTGTTCCGGAAGGTGAAGTGACATCAACGCATACCCTCTATTAGAAACCTTGATTACCTGCTTCTCTTACAGCTAAATAAGAGCCACAGGCTTGTGCACCTGGCCATGAGTGTACACACACACACCTGCTGACTGCTGAGCCCCTCCGGCATGGGGCAGAGCTGTGGTGGAGGGTGCTTGAACTCACACACAGACACATCCAGGTAACCTGCATCATCCTTTCCCTCACCTGCAACACCAAACACAAGCACTTTATCCACACAGAGACGGAGACACCGCCTGACAGGACGTCTGCAGCTTCCTTTAACTTCTCATGCTTCCACGTCTTTCTACTGTTTGTCTTCTGAGAATGTTTAATGGGTGGTCCTCAGGTCTCCCAATATGCTGATAGATCCTGTAAGTGTCTGCCAGTCTATGGAGTCATTTTACCACAGTTACACCTGTCTGCCACTAGGGATTGTTCACATGCTGCTCAGGACTGCTTCTGAATGTCTGCACACTGTTTGTGCTAAACGAGACTCTACATTAGGTCAGCTTGTTCCAGTTTCAGTACCTGTGGAGTCTTTTCTGTGCAGGAAGGACACTTTGCGAATCATGGCTAACTTTGTCTTTTCTAAACTGTCCTTGGTGCCGCTCCTCGCTGCTTTCATCAGCTGCTGCACCTGGAAAGCACACCGTGAGCACGGATATATCACCACACTTACTGCAGACAATAACATCAGGAACTAAAACTAAAATATCACATCTGCTGGTGGATTCCAGGTTCTCCATTAAAAGTACCAAATAACAAGCCCTTCCTCCCTCAAAGACAGAGCTGTACCCATGAGAAGAGGAGGAGGAAGAGAGTGTCCTACCTTGTTGTCACAGCTCTGCCGGATGTGGGCAACATGCGGCGCACTCAGACGCGCCGCCAGCTCCCTCCTGGTGACGGCACAGCGCTCCTTCAGCCTCAGCACGTCTGCAGGCAGCTAGAGGTCCAACACCAGAGCAGGAGACAGAAGCAGAGCCCAGAGTCCAGTCAGACATCACAGAGTTTGCACCTGAACCTTCTACACTAAACGCTGATGAAGCTGAGCTCAAGCGGCAGAACAAGTGGCAATATTACATTACATGTAACTGTAGTTGCTTTTAGTGCTCTTTAGTGCTGACATATTGAGACAATAAGCAGTAAAATACAACATCTACATGTGAAGTCACACAGAGTCATTTACAGCTGATGCATTTATTGTCTGGTTATGAAGGAGAACTGCTACAGAACAGTTAATACACAAGATATATTAGTTCATGTTATGACTTTAAGATGGGAACCAACCTTCAGATTAGTGACAGAGAATATACATCACAAACTGTTTCCTCCGACATGCACACAGTTTTAGTCTTGACTTTCAGAAAGAAGCATCAGAGAGTAAAACACTGGATGTCTATGAAGTATACTGGCACCTTGAGCCAGGCGTCTGCTGCCCAGCGGCGAACTTCCTTCAGCTCAGACACACAGGGGATCTGAGTCTACACAGAGCAAACCTGCATCAGCACGTGTTTATTGTGTTTAATAAACACCTCAAGGTCCAACATTCAAACTCAATACTGAATTCTACCACATACAGAACTGAAACTCACTGATGTCCATTCAAACTTCTTCCACTCTGTTAGAAACTGCCATCCAGTTAACCAAAGTCTGTTCAAAACTGACTGTTAAAACCAAAACACATGTTTAAACACTGTCTGAACTTTGCTTAATTAGTATCAACTTTAAAAATAAAATCAGCTCAAATCTAATGAAATAACAGCCAACAGGACAAACACTGTTAGGTAATAACCAGCTCCGGTTATTGATATGTATTTACTTTGATTACAGAAACCTACCTCATGTATCAGTGCGTCCCTCTTATCAAACCTCCAGAACACACAGAGACCTGCAGCTACAGCTGACAAACCTTGTCCCTAATGACTGACTTCAAAACACTGAAAGCTTCTCCACTTACACAGAGTCCTCTTCAAAACACAAACACATGAGCGGAGGTGGAAAGTCCACCAACAGGAGTCACACATAGTGACAGAAGCAGAAGACAGAAGTGCTGACAGAGCGAAGGCTGCCAGAAATAATTCACTTCCTCTTTTCATCAAACCAGGTTTCATTCACACTGTATATCAACTGCCTGTGGTTTCCCCACCAACATGATTTCTGGACTTTTATAGTGTGCCAGCACACTGGTGGATATTTTTGTCACAACTTTCAGTACCTTTATATTCAACAGCGAAAATGCTAAAAATAAGCTGCACTAATCAATATTCTCAGCAACGACTCAGAGTGCTGAATCCAAGTCGTGTGAGTCCAAGTCAGATGTGCTGTCCAAGCTCTTTTTGAAGAAGGTCAAAGAAACAGGCAGCGCTGAGGGCCGTAGACACAGAAACTTCCTGCAGCAGATGAAAGACACATCACGCTTACATCTCTTCACAGTCTGAAGATGTCCAGCAGAGACATCAGCTCAGAGCTGCAGGAAACAGAGGGACCCTGGTCCACCATCAGGAAACAGAAGGACCCTGGTCCACCATCAGGAAACAGAGGGACCCTGGTCCACCATCAGGAAACAGAAGGACCCTGGTCCACCATCAGGAAACAGAGGGAACCTGGTCCACCATCAGGAAACAGAGGGAACCTGGTCCACCATCAGGAAACAGAAGGACCCTGGTCCACCATCAGGAAACAGAAGGACCCTGGTCCACCATCAGGAAACAGAGGGAACCTGGTCCACCATCAGGAAACAGAGGGAACCTGGTCCACCATCAGGAAACAGAGGGACCCTGGTCCACCATCAGGTGGTCCACCATCAGGAAACAGAGGGAACCTGGTCCACCATCAGGAAACAGAGGGACCCTGGTCCACCATCAGGAAACAGAGGGACCCTGGTCCACCATCAGGAAACAGAAGGACCCTGGTCCACCATCAGGAAACAGAGGGAACCTGGTCCACCATCAGGAATGGTCCACCATCAGGAAACAGCCTGGTCCACCATCAGGAAACATGGTCCACCATCAGGAAACAGAGGCCCTGGTCCACCATCAGGAAACAGAAGGACCCTGGTCCACCATCAGGAAACAGAGGGAACCTGGTCCACCATCAGGAAACAGAGGGAACCTGGTCCACCATCAGGAAACAGAGGGACCCTGGTCCACCATCTACTGTCCGGAGAAGTCTGGTCAGAATTCAAAAAGCCTCCGACATGGAAACAAGGCCAAGAGACTCAACTCTGCAGGAAAAAATGGCAGCAGGAGCTCTGAACTGACGAGTCAAAATTTGGCTGCAGCAGAACGCAGTATGTTCACTGAAGGGCTGGAGAGCAGAACAAGAATGAGAGTCTGCAGGCAGCATCAAGCATGGTGGAGATCCTGCAGGATTGGTGTTGGGGATTTGGTCAGAATAAAAAGGTCTTCTCAATGCTCAGAAGTACAGACAGATACTTACCCATCATGCATTACCATCAGGGAGGGATCTGATTGGCACCAAATTTATTCTGCAACATGACAACAAGCCCCAACACATAGCAAAAGTCATTCAGAACTATGCTTAAATAAGAACAAGGAGTCCTGGAAGTGATGGTGTGGCCCCCAGAGAAACTTGTGTGGCCCCCACAGAGCCCTGATCTCAACATCATCACCTCTGTCTGGGATTACATGAAGAGAGAGAAGCAGCGGAGGCGGACTGAATCCACAGAAGGACTGTGGGAAAGATGTTTGGGCCTACCTACCTGCAGAGCTCCTTCAGAAACTATGTACAGGTCTACCTAGAAGAACTGATGCTGAAGACAAAGGGGGTCACACTAGATGTTGATCTGATTTTACCTCTGTTCACTCACTTTCTTTGCATTTTGTTATTGATAAATATAATCTATTAACGTGTCTATTTTCAAAAGCAATCTTAGTTCAGTTAAGCTTCAGCCATTTCATTCCAAGTCTGGGACAATAATGGAATGGTGGTGATACGGGAAATACAACTACAACACAGCAGAAAAAAATGTAATCCTGAAATGATACAGAAAGCAAAACTAATTGAAAAAAAGTGGAACTAAAATAACTCAGAGGACCAGACGTCCTGCATGTGGACAAAAACATAACATCCTCTCCAGGGTGGCACCGAACGACACAAACCTCTTCAGCATGTTTCACAACAGGCATCAATTCCTCAACACATGGCAATCGCATTGATGCACACACATAATGTAAAGTTAACATTCAGTGAACAATTCCAACAATTCCACCTCTACTATGTGGAGCACTTGAGTGAAAGGAAGCATAACTCAGTATTTTCACACCAGATAAATATTATGAGGAATTCTTCATCTAAATCAGTGGTTCTCACCCTTTTTCGGGCCAGCGGCCCCCTATCCATTGTCCAGGGTCCTTACCGCCCCCAATCAAAAAAGATGTTGGCTATTTGCCCTGAATATTGTTGATTATTAGCACTGTGTAGTTACTATTGTTATTAAAAATATGAAAAAAGCACATAAGTGAATTACAAACAACAATTTTATGACTTTCCCAGGGAACAAAAAAGTCATGTCATGTAATTAATAAGTCAGTGTTCCTCCGAAGGTTTTTGTAAACACAGAGACTGTTTTCTTGGATGGGGCACTTAATAAGTGGGGGGTCTGTGGGACCTCCCCCACAGGATTTTGAGCATTAAAGACTTAATTTCCTGCATTCTGGTAAAAATTTCTACACCAATTTATACTGGAAATGTTTTTATTTATATAAAGGGAAACACAAAATTCAGGTGGAAGGTGACAATTCAAACTATAAAAATATATCAGAACATAATGCAGTAAGGCTCTCAGGTATTTATTGCTTTATAATATGTTTCTCCTCTAGATCAACTTACTTAATCTCATCCCTGCTGAGTCAACACACATGAGTTAGTCTTCCTTCCTCTTTGTGTCTGTTGTTTGGGGAAGTAACCTCTTTAAATGTGATCGTGGCACCTTTTCCCCCTCAATGAGAAATTAATTAATTTTAATTCAGTCATTAACTCCTGGACTTTAATAGGCTAGCTCGTCTGTTTTAACACACTCGTCATGTATTTAAACGGGATAACTGCGGGATAGAATGGTAAACGGTTGACAGGTAGCCTAAGCAACACTGTGATCAGGTAGAGATCTCAAATCCACACACGTTAACTTCAGCAGCTTGGATAAAGTGCAGCTCACAGTCCCACACAGAGCAAGACACCGGCTCAGTTTTTAACGTCAAATTTTTTTTAATTGAACAACAAACAATGTGATTCACAGCGCAAGGTGAGTCCACTTGATTAATGTCACATGCACTCGCTGGTGTCGGATCAGGTGCTGGATGCTAAGTTGCTTTCAGGGGAAGTCAGACAGCGGAATATCCCCCTTGTGAATGTGTAAGCACGGTGATAGAAAGGTGAAATTTTACGGATGATACTGACTTCCCGTTCCCATGAAGGCAGCACGGAGCTGCGCCACAAGGAGCTGACGAAACACTGAATAGAAGAGTAGTTATGACTCACACCGTCTCGTCCAGTTGCAGTGGAGTAAACTGGCAGGTTTTAATGTTGCAGACCACAGTTTTTTGCAAGTAGTTTAAACTCATACTGTTGTGAATCTTTGGTGTAAACTCACCTTAAAACTTTCACCTCAACAAACGCCCCCAAAAAGCAGCTCAGTGCTCTCCTTTCCAAAATATTACTTCTAGCGCCCCCATCATCTTCTGAACACCCCCTTTGAGAAACACAAATCTAAATGGATAAACCCCCCGTTTCTGCCACGACTTGGACGATTTCACACCAGCCCAGCGGTGGCAGTAAAAGGATCAGATCAACCTGCACCTGGTCTGTATGAACTGACTCTGGTTCTTCTTTTTGTGCCTGCATGAAACTGCATGTTGACACTTCCAATGATGTTAATGTGGTTAAATGTTGGATGTCCCAAACATTACCCTTAAAGCATAAGGTTTAGTCTGTGTGGTCGTGTTGCTTTATTAATATACTCATAAGTACTGGACCAGTCTGTGGTTATCTCAAGGCTATTATTAATATAGAGTGATCACTGCATCAGTATATTACCATGAATCTATATTCATCCTGTCCAGATGTTCAGCCAATAGAGGGCAGCATACAGCTTACGGCAAATTTATCCACCCTCTCCATCCTACAGCGTGTTGATGTGGAGGCCAGAACTGTTTTAATATTCATGTATTATTTTTGTTGTGTATTTCCAGAAACCATAACATGTTCCGCTGAAACTGGAATAAAGTCCAGGACACTCATTTCTTCATCATAGTCCGTCCCCTTCTATCAGAGCAGGAATATCCAGCTGTAGTCCACCGCTGACACCAGTGTTGGGCAGTAACGCATTACTGTAATAATATTACTTTTCCCAGTAACTAGTAGTGTAACTAATTACTTTTCTAAAACGGTAATATTATTACTAGTTACTAAGGCAAGTAACGCTGCGTTACTCGTTACTGAACGCACCATCCTTGACGTAAATCCACGACTGTGCGGCAGCTCAGCGGCACAAGTAGCTGCGGCCATTATTGTGTCACAGTCTAAGATGCAAGATTGACGTCTATTGTAAACTCTGAGCGACCAGCAAGAAGATTTCAACCGCAAACATTTCTACATCTGATTTGTTGGAGCATCTGCTGAAGCAGCACAGCGACGTGAAACTTCCAGAAAGAAACTCCGGCAGCTGCTGCCACTGACACTGGACTCGTCGGCAGAGAGTGGCGTTAACGTAACGTTTTATAACTACTGAAGACTGCTCTTATAAACAGGCTGCATGTGCAGAAAAACAGCTGTTTAAAAGTCGGGATTTACTTGCTTTATTCTTTTATTTCAGCCGGTGGCGTTAAGAAACGTTAGGCCTGGGCTATATGCTTTGTAACAACCACACTCCTTGCTGCGGTGGAATATGGTATTAGTTCAAAAGTCGGGAGAGACTGCCGTGTTTGGGGGTGAAGGGGGTGGTAGTGAAAGCAGTGTTTCCCATACTTAGCCTATGATTTGGATAATTATCAATGCTGACCGCCACATATTGATTTTCTGTTTTTTTTTTAAATCATTTTTTATTGAGGAGCATATATTCGTGCAGCAACTCCTCGCTCGCTCCCTCTTTCTCTCTCTCCTGAACACCGCTGCAAAAACCTGCCCAAAGCTAGAATAACCCCCCACCCACTGTCATTCTGCGGGAAACACTGGAAAGTAATATAGTAAGGTAACGAGTTACTTTTATCACCCAGTAATAAGTAAAGTAATAATATTACTGTTTTAAGGAGTAATAAGTAACTAGTAATATATTTCTGTGTAACTTGCCCAACACTGGCTGACACACACAGTGTTCCTAAAGCTGAATCACATTAAATGATCTAAATGTATTGATTATATCAATAGGAGTTACCTTGCTGCTGCTGCGGGCCGGAGGAACAGTCTCACTGTCAGACAGCTCATCATAACTCTCAAACTCACTGGAGCTCCAGCCGTTGGAGCCACGGTGATCAGGTCTCTGGATGTCCTCGTAGATGTCCTCAACATCTGCACACAGAAGCCAATAGATGAACAACACGTTGTAGTTTCATATATTTAAGTTAACAGTTATTCCTATTGTCCACAGTGTGTTAGATGACACTGGACGCTCCAGACTCGTAAAGAGCCTCACCGTTCACCGGCTGCTGTAGGTTCTCAGCAGGTACGTCATCATAGACCACCTCTGGCTCTCTGACCAGGTTGTCTGCGCTGCAGGTCTCTGTACTCTGGTTGGTTGTTCTGTCTGCAGCAGCTGGTTGATGATCAGTCTGTGGACTGGCTAAAGAGGACAGCTCGTCCTCAACAGAGTCCTGCTGTGTTACTGCACTGCTGGACTCGTCCTGACCGCCTTCTGGTATTACAGAAGGGTTTCCTACAAAACAGTGAGATCATCAGTGTTAAAGGACACATCAGGCTGATGTAAAAAATAATCTGAGATTTGGTGATTTAAGTTGAATTACTTAATTCATCCTCAGCTACACAGTGGCTAGGCTGATTACACTCATCGTTATACTTTCTCTAATTAATATTAATTTTTTTGTGAATAGAATTTTCATAAAACTAAAGTTTTTATCCTTTTGAGCAGGCCTCTGGACCCCCTTCAAAGACTATGGGGTGCTTCATGTCATCTTGCTTTTACCCAGTTCACTCTCTTACCTGCTCAGTCACAGGAAGCACACCTGTCCTCATGTGATCTCTATAAATACTTGGAAAACTGATTCTCTAACAGGAGGTTCGCTGCCTTCAGGGAAGAACAAGTTGAACATTACTGTGACCTTTTAAGACTGGAATAATACTGTTAAACATACGTGCTACCCAAACACCGGCTCAATACTCCAATACTCCAGTACTACATATACAATCTAATGACTGGAAACTACAGGTTTTTGTATGGGGGCTGATGCACAGACAGATCAGGGACTGTGAGCTTCTGTATAGGTACATTACAGGAGTGTGGAGCAGCTAATGCTAATGGCTAGGTGACACTGGCTGCATTTTGCTGGAAGCTGGACCGTTGGTTCTCTGTTCCAACAGGGAACTCATTTACATTTTTTAAGTAAAAAGATGTAACCTCACTGAAATGCAGCATGTTATCATTGCTACAAGATAGCAACCAGCAGAGCTAGCTACCAGCAGAGCTAGCTACCAGCAGAGCTAACGCTACAGGCAGGATGGGTACCTTTGTTTAATCGCTGTGTGAGCTCTGAAACCACACTGAGCCACTCCTTAGCTCGATATGTTGTCTGGGCTGTCCACGTGCAAGCAAACACAAAACATCTTTGCTTTGGTGACCATAAAGACACAGAGTCTTGGTTCTGGGTCGGTGAGGGCAGTGAGGGCAGTGAGGGGTGGGGGGGAGCAGATGATGTTCATATCAGATGCTGCAGCTCCTCTTATTTCTTACCTTCATTAGTACAGCTCGCTTTCCAGGAACTCTCTGACTCTTCCATCGATCCCAGATCAGAGGAGGTGGAACATCTGCAACAAGCATTTTATTCTGTAGGTCATTCAAAGAACTGTTCATGTATTTATAACTTTCAAATGTCCACAGTGGCAGTCAGCTGATTCTTAGTGGTCTGACAACAAGACATGTTCTCCCATCGTGGAGAGATTTTCACTAAAACTGTGATAATCACATCTGCCTGATGCTTGAAAAGAAAAACTTAAATTAAGTTCGGTCACATGATAACAGGCGGGCGTATATAAAGGGGGCAGGTCGTAAACCGTGTCTCTGTTGAGACACAGTCTGCGTTCTTTGATAAACACCACACAATGTGGTTTAAAGCTCTCGAATAAAGCTAGATTGTCTGCTGACAATCAAAGAATCACACACAACAGGGGTCACGTGAAGCTGTGACTCTGTGTGTAAATACATACATTTTAGTATAAGCATCCCAGCTAATATCACAGTTAACATTAATTACAGATGCACCTAGCTAACCAAGCTAGCTAGCTCCACCCTCTCACCCAAATATGGTCACGTCTGGTCCCAAAAAACAAGAACCACCACTCGCAGCCTAAATCTCAGTCCAACATAACACGAGATGCATGTCACTGCTCTGCAACTCCGTTAACATAATATCAGACACCCTGCTGATTCATTCCAGGACTTGTGGATCTCATTGCAGCATTTCAACTGCACAGCTTCACACTTCAGAGGTCATTCTGTGATTTTGCTCACAGCTGGATTTGGTACATGTAATGTTTTTCTTTGCCTGGCCCAAGAATCAGTGTTGTGTGTGATACACAACACTGATTTTAAAAGATGTTTCAGAGGTAACTGGTCTGCTTGTGTTTGGCATTTAGATGTAGCTGTGGTAAGTGAAATGTTTTCTTTAGCTTACCCCTCAGGTGACTCCCTGACCTCCATATCTGGTGAGAAAAAACAGAACATTACAATCTACACTCATACAACCCCTCATCTAAATACATACATGCCTGTTATTTCACCTGAGCAGTGCTGGTGGAACAAGGAGGAGTTCTGGTCCTTCTGTACCGTACTGGTGGTTCTGGTCATGTCCGGCCCTGCTGCCTCTTGGCCTTTGTTTGTCTGGATGTAAAGGTTCAGCCCTGATGTGTCTGTGGTCCACTCACTCTTCATCAGAGAGCCGCAACTCGTCTGTGGGGGTCCGATGTCAATCCCGTCATCAAACTCAAACTTCTCTCCCTGCTCATCTTCATCCTCATCTTCCTCTATGCGGGACACCCCGTTAGATATAGACACTGAGAACAGAAGAATGCAACGTAGTATTAAATACCACAGATACTTTTGTTTTACTGTGGTCACTCTGAATTTCAACACATTATGAGCCTCAAAGAGAGGATTTACTACAGGACTAAAGTGTAAATAAACAGTATTCACTGCTGAATGTGGAGGGGAAAGAACATGTCAAGTCCAGGCAGTGTAGAGATCCAGGAGTGGAACGTGCAGCTACTGAGCCTCTTTGTTTAGGTGCCTGAATACAATGAACGAGGAAACCTGTGCTTTGACACCTGAGTCCCGGCCTACAGGTATAACTCGCCCTGTGATTCTGTGATAGGTCTGACAGCTGGCTGGAGAAACAAAGCTTTGTGGTAGGGAGTAATGGATGCTGAGCTCAACACAGGCTGAAACTCATCAACATTTTTCTTTTATTGTCTTAAAAAACATTAAGTGCTCCTGGAAACCGATGATCAGGTTTCTCCAGCTCTCAAAACTGCAGTTATCCGCCCCCATCTGAAAAAGCCGTCACTTGACCCCGACATCCTGGCTCATTACAGACCCATTTCAAACCTGCCGTTTTTGTCCAAAGTCCTGGAAAAAGTTGTTGCAGCCCAACTCCACAATCACCTTCACATCCATAACATATATGAAAAATTTCAGTCCGGTTTTCGAGCAGCACACAGCACGGAGACAGCCCTGGTCCGCGTCACAAATGACCTACTTATGACTGCAGATCAGGGCTTACCATCTCTCCTCCTCCTACTGGACCTGTCGGCCGCCTTTGACACTGTGGATCACAACATCCTGCTTCACCGTCTCCAGTCTATGGTAGGACTTTCTGGGACCACACTAGGCTGGTTCCAGTCTTATCTCACAGCCAGGATGGAGTATGTGGCTCTAGGACAGTCTCAATCATCACCCCACACAGTCAGCTGTGGAGTGCCACAAGGGTCCGTCCTTGGTCCAACCCTTTTTACCATCTACTTACTACCCCTCGGTCACATCATCCATAAACACAAAGTTTCATTCCATTGTTACGCAGATGATACACAACTATACATAAAAATGGACTCCACACTCCCCTCAGCTCTGCCATCTGCACTTCAGGTTTGCCAGGAGGAGATAAGGGCATGGATGGCTGACAACTTTCTTCAACTAAATAGCAGCAAAACCGAAGCCATCCTGATCGATACCCCACATCAAACCCAGTCCTCCTCCCTCAGCAGTATATCCATTTTTGGTCATCACATTCCCCTGTCTACCTCTGTTACAAACCTTGGAGTCAGACTTGACTCAAATCTCACATTCGACACTCACATCCGTCACCTCTGTAAGGTCTCCTTCCTCCACCTCAAAAACATCGCCAAACTCCGCCCCTCCCTCTCACAACTAGATGCTGAGAAGTTGATCCATGCCTTTATCTCCTCCAGGTTGGACTACTGTAATGCCCTCCACGTCGGGATCCCTGGCAGGAGACTGCAAAAGCTCCAGCATATTCAGAACTGCGCTGCCCGGGCCCTGACGAGGAGGCGCAAATATGACCATATCACTCCAGTCCTGAAATCCCTCCACTGGCTGCCCATTCAATACAATTTCAATATAAAATCTGTCTCCTTACCCACCAGTGCATACATGGAACTGCCCCTGCCTTCCTCAGTGAACTCCTCACCCCACTCACCACCTTAAGAAACCTCCGCTCCTCCACCTCTACCCACTGCCTGCACCAACCAAGGACTAAACTCTCCACCATGGGAGACAGGGCCTTCCAGGCAGTCGCCCCACGGCTCTGGAATGCCCTCCCAGAGCCCCTAAGGGCCCCACAAACTCTGGAGGTTTTTAAGAAGGGCCTAAAGACTTTTCTATTTCAAAAGGCCTTTTAACAGTCATGGTTTTAAATCTTTTGTTACGGTGTTTTATTGCGATTGTTATTTTCTGGAACTGTTTTTAACCCCTTGTTGCTGTAGCACTTTGAGATTTCCCTGAAATGTAAAGTGCATTATAAATAAAATTTATTATTATTATTATTATTATGCAGCTCCTGTTGATTCTGATTGGTCAGGGCCAAGCGGGAAGCTTCCATTCTACAATATGAAGCCGATGCCTGAAACCTGCATTCTATTGAAAATCCAGCAGGGGGCGACTCTTCTGGTTGCAAAAAGAAGTCTGGCTCCATTAGAAATAATGGGAAAATGACCCTACTTCTCAGCTGAATAATTACCCCAGTTAAACACTTTCCTGATGAGTTTATGGTCTCAGTCGCATAAGTTTCAAGTCTTCTTCAATACATAATGATGTTCATTTAGTAAATTATGGTCCCATTTATTTTAAAATAGACCATAAAGCAGAGAATGTTTCAGGGCGGGATTATCTATGATTGATAAGTCGTTACCATGGCGACCTGTCAATCACGCTAGAGTGACTCATACCCTCAGCACTGTGTAAATTTAACCAGCGCCGCTGAAAAAGCTTATTAGGAGTTGGCTGTTCACTTTCTCTGGTGAGTACATTTAGTTTTAAGTCTGTTGTTCGCTAGACAGACTTATCAGCCCTGTTAAAATGACAAAATAAGCAAGCTTAGCTCCGCCGTATCGTCACTTCCAGGCACTTCCTGGCTGCAAAAACTCGACATGGTGGCGCCCTATCGGCCAAACTCGAGGCTTCATAATGGCAGTCCACAAACCAACGGGTGACGTCACGATGACTACGTCCATTTCTTATATACAGTCTATGGTCAGGGCCAAAGAAACAACCCGCAACGCTGGTGGACCAGTGTACATCTGTTTGCCCAGATGTCCAGTAGACCAACAGTCAGTGAGGTACCGTCATACCTGTAGACCCAAAACCAGCGCTGACTGACTGACTGTAGAGACGCTGTACAGAAGGCTGGTTGGATGGATACACTGCTGTTTGTAAAGAAATAGTTCCAGCATGTAGCTCCCCTACAGCCACATGTTACCGTCAGCTGGTAGGCGTGTTTGAACTCTGACAGAGTAAAACAGTTACGTTTCCAGTTAACCTGAGGAGCAGTGAACTGCCTGAGCAGGTGTTCCCACATCTCCATGGCTAGAAGCTAACACTGACGCTGCAGGTGTGCAAGGTGAGACTTGTTGATGGATCTGAAGCTCCTCAGGTCATCTGGAGTCACTCTGGGCTGAACAGACCAACCACCTGGCTCGTTCATTGTAAGATGACATAGTGTGCTGAACAGATTTTGTTGACAAGTGAGCAATGCATCATGGGAAACAGAGGATTAGTAGCTGCTGGTGGGAAGATTACACTCTAAACATATGGCTTTCAAGAACCAACCCTTCACCTGTCACTGCTAATTTACACACCCAAGCAACAGCAAGTGCAACAGAGCAATTGTTTCAGCTCCAGGGGGGCTCAAAAACCCTGGGCTCACTGAGTGTCTATTGGTTTCAGACTACTTTGGTGACTTTTTCATCTCTCAGGCTCACACAGGCTGCACCAAACATCTGAATGTTTTTAAAGAAGCTCTGCAGACAAAAAGACAACAGCTTTCTCTACAACGTCCTGCTGGGACATTTTTTAAATGAATTTCACACTTAAGTTTACAGGTGATGGTGTGTCACTGTGATCCACACCTTAAATAACAGATTGATCATCAGTCTGTTTACGGTATGTGTTTACATATCATTTTCAGATTTGGATATCAGCCCTCATGAATTCCAGAAATGGCGCTTACCTTAAAGCCCTTCAAGCCTTTGAGGCCCCTGTCCTGAACAGGGTCCCTGTGCTGAAATGTAGTTTTCAGTAGTATTTCAGGAGATACTGAAATCTTTACATTTCGACCTAATAACTGCAGAGCTACCTAGATGCTACCCGTCTGAGTGGAATAACATTACATGTTTCAGTCACCAGATCAGATGCATATGCTTCATACATATTCTTAAGCATGTCCAGGCCGCCTCCTCCTCCTCGTGGCTCACAGGTAGATCTGTCCCCAGGCTGTCTCAGAAGCCTGCAGAGGCTTGCTCCGTATTGCACAACATATGGTAACTAGGCTAGTAGGCCTTTTCCCCAGAACAGCAGGGGATTAATGAGTCAGGATCCCCTCCAGGCCCTGAGCCTGACTGCTCCGTTCAGTTCACACCAGACTTATTGTCCAAACTTGTCTCCCTTGTTGCAGGACATCACAGGAAACATGACAGTGTCAGACCCGGGTAAACTTTCTAATATTAAAGGGGATTTCACGTTGAGCGGAACACCACCCTGCCTGCCACAGTTTTCATCTCACATATACAGTATATCATCAGGGATATATATATTTTGAGATAATGGGTTGGCCGATACCTGAACCTACAAAGCCGATGAAGAGAAAGTGTCTGTGGACACACCTGCAACAGCCTAGTGAGCACAGTGAGCTGCTGGTGAACAATGTTGGCGCCCTCCCTCGTGAGTTTTGGTGAGTTTGGAGCCCTAAATGTCCACGCTCTGAAATCTACAGCAGAACCCAAAGTATGGTTCTGTTTCATTAATAAAACATCTGAAACCCGTTACTGCTGAGGGAACATGGACTCTGCAGGAATGATGGATTATACTGGACTTATCTTTGTTCTGATATCGGCATTATATATCCTGCTCTCTAAATCTCGGCATTGGCCACTGAACAACCTGAATGGATCGACCACTATATATTATATACTGTATATCTCACAGATAATTGTTTTGTTGAAAAGAGGCCTGACTGATGAGATAAAAATATGCTTCCCTGTTCTTTCTGTTTTAAACATAATTTTTGGAGAGACATGGTGCTTTTAATGGCAACAGACCTGCTCTGTGGAAGTGAAGTACATTACACAAGTTAAGGGCTTCAGCAGGCCAGGATCTGCACTGAACCAAGACTTCAAACATAAACATCTAAATGATACTGAACATGAATATGACTCACCCAAGGTGTGACAGAGAAGAGGATGTGGGGCGGTCATGCTGGCTCACATCAGCTCCTGTCAACACACAAAAAAGCCTCATTAAAGACAGGATGAGTAACAGCTGATTAAACCTAGTCATTAAACTTTCAATGACTTTAGGTTTTTTCAAAGATCTTTCAAAGATTCTGAACATCAAAACCCCAAAGTACACAGTCAGACAGAGGGAGGACATGAGGAGAGGAACATGTGGAGCATCACAAACCAACTACAATAATGATTTACATAGAAACTCAGCAGGTGTTTCCAGGTGTCGGGAGTTCTTCTGCCTTCAGTGTCTCAGAGGGAGCTGTGTGATAAATTTTATGTCAGCGTCAGCTGAAAACTACGAGTTTGAAATGAAACAAGTTCGAGTTCCAATAATTAGTTAATTAGTTAAATTAATCACCAACTATTTTGATAATCAAATAATCACTTTGAGTCCTTGAGAAAAGATGTCCAAATTCTCTGATTCTAGCTTCTCAAATGTGAATATTTCTTTCTTCCCCTAGGACATTAAACTGAATATATTTGGGTTGTGGACAAAACAAAATGTTTGAGGACATCATTTTGTGCAGAGGGAAGCACTGATCGACATTTTTTACTTTTCTAACAACTTATCGATACAGATTAAATTAAGGGTACATGGGTAGGTTTATCTGTCACATTAAAACAGGTTATAGATTGAAATTAAGTTCTTAACTCTCTTCTGCTACATAGCAGACAATATACATTAATATAGAAGCAATTTTAAAAATAGTAAACAGAAATAAACTATCATCAGTGGAGCAGTCCTGAGGATGAATTAGAGTTTAAGAGTCTGATAGCTTGGGGGAAAAAGCTGCTCTGCAGTCTGGTGGTGCGGCAGCAGAAACTTCTACATCTCTTCCCAGAAGGCAGCAGGGTGAACAGGCTGTGGCTGGGTGGGTGCTGTCCTTTAGTATCCTTTGGGCTCTGTGCAGGCACCTCACCTCACAGATATCACTGATGGTCAGGAGATGGGTACAAATGATCTTCTGAGCAGTTTTAATCACCCGCTGCAGAGCCCTCTGGTCCTGGGCTGTGCACATCCCATGTTAGTGATGTTTCCAGTCAGGATGCTTTCTATTGCTCCTCTGTAAAAGTTAACAAGAACTTGGCACATTCTTAAGCTTCCTCAAGAAAAAGTCGTTTCTGAGCTTTCTTCACCAGCGTGGAGATGTGAGACGACCATGTCAGGTTCTTTGTGATGCTGATTCCCAGGAACCTGAAACTGTTCACCTGCTCCACCTCAGCTCCACTGATGGAGACAGGAGTGTGTGTCTTTATCTCCTTCTTCCTGAAATCAACCATCAGCTCTATGTAATGTTCTCTGAGAACCACTCTACAAGATTATGAATTTCCTCCCGATATGAAATCTCAGCCTCGTTTGAAATCCGGCCAATGATGGCGGTGTCGTCCGCACACTTCACAACAGAGTTCGCTCCATGTCGGGGGAAGCAGTCGTGGGTGTACAGCGTGAACAGGAGGGGGCTGAGCACACAGCCCTGGGGGGCTCCCGTGTTGAGCACTAGAGTAGAGGAGGTGAGTCCACCAATCCAAACTGACTGGGGTCTGTTTGTGAGGAAGTCCAATATCCAGTTGCAGAGTGTTGTATTTAAACCCAGAGTGCTGAGGTTGCTGATCAGTTTCATGGGGAGATTGTGTTGAATGCTGAGCTGAAATCCACAAACAGCATTCTGATGTAGGTGTTGTTTTTCTCAAGGTGTGTGAGGGCAGTGGAGATGGCATCATCTGTGGATCTATTGGTTCTGAAAGCAAACTGGTGAGGGTCCATGCTGACTGGGATGTTGGTAATGCAATGAAATAATCATTCAAATAATCAAATGAAACAACAATGAAAATAATCGTTAGTTGCAGCCCTAGTGTGGAGTTAGAAAGAGGTGAACTCACAGACAGGATATACAGGATCCTGGCGTAGGTTCCAGGTAGACTCTCCAGGAACCTACGCCAGGATCCTGTTTGTGGATTTCAGCTCTGCTTTCAACTCCATCATCGCTGGTGCAGGACAAGCTCTGTCAGCTGAGCGTGCCTGACTCCACCTGCAGGTGGATCACTGACTTCCTGACGGACAGGAAGCAGCACGTGAAGCTGGGAAAACATGTCTCTGACTCCAGGACCATCAGCACCGGTACCCCTCAAGGCAGCGTTCTTTCCCCCCTTCTCTTCTCCCTGTACACCAACAGCTGCACCTCCAGTCAGCAGTCTGTCAAGCTCCTGAAGTTTGCGGACGACACCCCCTGTACGTGTGTTCAGGACCTGTCCACCTCCAGGACTCTGAGGTGAGCAGAAAAGATTGCAGCTGACCCCTCCCATCCCAGACGCAAACTGTTTCAGACTCTCCCCTCTGGCAGGAGGCTGCGGTCCATATGGACCAAAACCTCTTGCCACAAAAACAGTTTCTTCCCGTCTCATCAACAAGGCCCGGGTCCCCCACTGACACTCCCCCCTTGCAAATAACGAAAATATCTCTGCATGTGTAAATTTTACTTCATTTCATATCACGCACAAACCTGGCACATTGCACATTTGTTGTTAATTGTTCTTTCTCTGCAAATAGTTGTATTATTATTCTCTATTCTTTTATAATTCTCATATAACTTGCATTTGTTTATTCCATATTTATATATTTCTACCTTTATTTATGTCAACTGTATGTCTGTCTGCGTGTAGCACCTTATCACCAAAGCAAATTACTTGTATGTGTAAAACAGTACTTGGCAGTAAAGCTCCTTCTGATTCTGATTCTGACCTCTGTAACTGCTGCAGGCTACATTAGCTGCAACTAGCATAACACACCCCAATCTACCACACTACTGTCAGAGGGAGAGGCGCATGGTGGATAATGTAGGTGCAAGGTTTTGACAAGGAAGGAATGTTTGAATAAAAAAGAGAATCTCTCTGTTTCTGCTACAGCGATTTAGATTTCAGTCTGACAGAGCTCCAGGTGTGTGATGATACATCCTCTTTAAAATCATGCATTCGAAACAAACTGTTTCTGTATTTCACAGCCTAAAAACAAGCCTTGCAAGGAAATAAAGTACGATCAGTATTCCACATGATGTCTGATGTTCATGCGACCTGAACACACAGGTATGATGAAGAGCAGAGGGAAACTGGTGTTTATCCATGTGGACAGCCGGCTGTAGATGTTTTTCCCAAAGGCAACATGAGATTGTCACATTCCTCTGCAGCAAATCCAGACGTGTCCTCTCCCAGACTGTTACTACATAACAACATCACACGAGAACATGACGTCTAAACTAGGTAACTGGGAACAACATGATGTTCTCGTGTGTCTAAGGCTTGGACCCATTCTAACCACCACTAGTCTGACCTTTCAGCAACAGAAGTCATGTTATCAGCTTCTAGAGATGTAAATACTCAAATCAGAGACTCAGAGAAGAATGGTCTCTTGTGCCAAGTTGAAGAAAACTACATGAATAATTCATCAAGCTGTATGGAAGGCAGATACTGTGGGCCTGGCAGCTGAACGGAGCTCTGCTGCCAGCTGTGAGGAGGAAACAGCCTCTGGATTGTCCACACAAAGATCTTCTGACTCCCACTGCCATGACAGCATTCAGTCAAAGCCCAGAGCCAAACATGGAAACAAGACATAGGCACATTCCTGCATAATGTTTCACTGGTGACGGGTTCTGTTATATGAGAGTTTAGCTCCATTAGCATCAAGGCCTGAGGGAGACACTTTTTCTCTCTGTCAGGCCAGCAAGCAGGGGTTAGCAACTGGACTGGCCTGATGTTTGGTCGCTCAGGGTACCCAGAGGATGACTCTTCATATTTCCAGGAGAAGCTACCTCAACAGCTGCTGGATGGGTTTCATGATTTGCTTTCTTTGAGCATTTGTTGTCCCAAGAGGATGAATCATCCTCTATGAATCCTCTAAGCACAAGAGAGCGCTCTGACACGTCGCCTGAACCCTCCGAAAGGTGGTCAGCTGGGTTCACAGCTGGTGACCAATCAGGTGTCTCTCAGTAATCCCTCTATGTTGATGCATATAGTCGTGGTTCCCAGAGGATGAATTGTAGCCAGCAGCAGGTTAAAGTTTTCACTTATCTTGTGAAATCTCGACGTCCACTGGAGCATTTTGTAGAGACATTCACAGCCCCAGATGATGTATCTTACTCACTTTGGTGGACACTTAACTTTTCCTCTAGCACCACCATGAGGCTGAACCCTGTGGTTTTATTGAACTATTATTATATAGTAACATTGTTGTGAAATGCAGATCATTCACGTTCCCCTCAGGATGAACTGTAATGGCGATGCTCTGATTTCTTATGTAGCGCTACCATCAGGTCATTGTGTTACTGTTGGCACGCTTGATGGTGACCATGGTGAACATTATCCAGCCTCACAGAGCTGCTGGCACGGCTGCAGAATCCTGTTGATGTGAGAGGGGTTCGGCCGGACCTCTCTGTGGACCGGCCACGTTCAGGCTCTCTGACCCACTGAACTTTCCTCTATTGCCACCGTCAGGACAGCGTTTCTATTTTGGTCATTTTCCTGTTGTGCCACAGTTAGGCAACATGCTGTACAACATCGTAATGTAACAGGCAGCCTGTAAACAACGGGTTGGCCTTTACTCCTGCATAAGGACACAATTCAAAAAGAGTTGTATTAATATATAAACTGTGGATTTTAAAAACCACTGCAGCCTCTGTGGGCTGCTTACAGGGTTTTAGAGTCAAAAAGTACAAAAAGTACTACAAAAGTAGTCCTAAAACCTGCGTTATAAACTTTACCTGAAACCTTTCAGAGCAAAGAATGTTTAGAAACATACCGTTACTGTGAGATACTCTGAACGTTGTCCCTGATTGCTCACCTGCAGTTTCACAACAGCTGCAGCAGCACTGACACACCTACATAAAGCTGCAATCTGTGAAGGGTCACATGAGTTCAAAGCAGGTCCTCTTCAGACATCTGGGTTCTACAATATTGTCATCTTATTGTGTACAGATCTGTCTGCAATGACTAGTTTTACTTTCATTGTACAAATTATTATGTACAATACTAATGCAGATGTAGGTTGTACAAAGTGTAGGCTGTGTTTTCTTACGTTGGGAACATTATAGGCTACCTAAAAAACACTTTACTGTAGACAGATGCATGCCAGCATGTAGCCCTCCTGACTAATACTCCACTCACCTGCCGTCTGGAGGTCATCCCCAGGCTTACTGATGAGCTCAGCCCTGGATCCACCCGGCCTCCCGGTGCGTGGCTCTGCGGTGCAGCGGGGCCGGGAGGTGTCCGGTGAGGACTTGGCTCGGCTCTGGTCCTGCTGGTCCAGTCACCGGCTGTTCACGCTCCTACTCTTCCAGGATAATGGCTCTGGCAGAACCCAGGCTTCCCCAAGAATCCCTCCTTTCAGGGTTTTCCTGTTGTGTTTCCCTCCGCCCTCCCCCTCTTCCTCCCTGCGTCCCGCTCTCCCGCTGCAGACAGACAAACGCAACTAACGTAACTAACGCTAATAACGTAAGTGCTGCAGGGAGACCGGCTGCAGTCTGTGGCGGAGATAAAGCTTCACACAATCTCTGCAGCCTGTGTCTGCTCAGATGACCAGCCCCTATCTGTCCATTCAGCAGTAAAAGCTGCAGGGAAACATTAACGGACAGGTTTAAGGTGTATTATGTTTCCATGTGTTCTGCAGCAGTCTGTCCGGTTTGCTGTGGGTGTAACGTTAAAGAAACATGAGAACCACTTCTGGAAAGTTTACTTATTTATTATTATTAATGTTTCCTTGGTGTGTTGAAACTTCCGAATTGTGTCTTTTGACAGTTAGTTTGTTATAAAAGTCCCAGTCAGTATATATTTAGATTATACTTTCATCTAAAACTAAATCAAGCTTTTTTTAAATGGGGTTTTTGGTGCGGCGGGTTTTCTCTACACGAGAATAAACGTTAGATGTCGCCGTTGAGTCTTGCTGGCTATGGAAGCAGCACAGACAGTGATGGAAGAAGTATTCAGGTTTTACTGAGGTAAAAGTACCTGTAAGAATACTCCATTAGGAGAGACCAGGCACGGCTGAAAAATCTAGAACTCGCTGAATCTTTGTGTTTGTTGACACAGAGGACCTTTATTTGTCCACAAAGATCAATGTTCCCATCTTCAGTCACAGAATTAATTAATGTCAAATACAAGGGAGTCCATTGTTACAACCTACCCAACTGTACGTCGGAACAATTAAAAAATGTGACCACCCCACAAAATATATGTAGACGTTATCTGAGGAAGACTTTTAACTCACTTTAAGAATGATTGTAATCCACAATAATGAGCTGGAGCTGATTCTTGAAGATCTTTCTTCTTGGACATCATGTGCAGCAGGCTAAACGAAGGACCTCCTTGAAGACTTTCGGACTGCTGTAGGCCACACGGGGCAGCTGTCTTGATCCTTATTAACTTCTTGCAGTATCTGCAGCGTTCTTTCGACTAATCCTTACTGTGTTTCCCTGCCTCAACTCGTGTGATGCAGATTTTGTTACATGCAGGCACACCCTGTCAGGTTTTCTTACCTGCTGTGTGAAAAGAGAGCAGAGAAATATGTTTAGTGGTCATTACAACCATCCCCTCCCCTCTCAGCCATTGTTTAGCTATATATTTAGCCTCTTGGCCATTCCTGGGTTTGTGCAAAGCAAACAGGGTTCAGGAGACTGAGGAATATAACAATGAGTTGAAGGTGTTGAATTGGACTCCAATTAATCCAATCCAGCTTCTGTGGGACATGCTAGACCAACAACTTAAATCCATGGAGGCCCCACCTCGCAACTTCCAGGACTTGGTGCCAGATACCACAGCACACCCAGAGGTGTAATGGAGTCCAGCCCGCAACGGGTCAGGGCTGTTTTGGAGGCAAAAGGCGGTCATTATGATGCACCTGATTGGTGTATAATGACTTGAAATGACATTAGGTTTCATTTTGCAACAACATAAAAAAAAAACACTAGTTTAGATGCCGGTTTACTGTCAGTTCATGCATGTCCTAGTTTCCGCATCTGGGAGTCAAACGTCACCCGGATTTTTCTGGTGTCAGCAGAGAGACTTGAGAGATGGGTGATGTCCTGACGCTCCCTCTGTCCAGTGGTTTCCAGCTGCATTGATAAAAGCTTCGAATTTAAGCCGGACACTTGTGTCTGACGCAACACCTCAACTTTCCAGAACATCAGTAGAAACTGAGAAGAGCTGACGGGGAAACGGGATGCTTTGATAGTGTCTGAGGACATGACAGACGTTTTTATCAGAAAAAAGCAGCTCCTTGTTGAAGGCATCTGAATTTCTTAATTCAATTCTATGTATTTTTTTTTATCTTAATCTGTTTTCTGTGTTTTTCTTTCAACTGATTTACTTTTTAAATTTTATTTAATTGTTCAATTTCATTTAATTTAAATGTAATTTCTTATTTTAATGTAATAATATTTTTCATTTTATATTACACGTTTTAAATTTTACAGATGATAAACTTATTGATGACTAGATGGGTAATAATTATATTAATAATTATATTAATAATGTAGACCCAAAAGAAGTAATAAATAAAAAATGGCAATAAAATAAATAAATACATAAATCAAAATCATACAAAATAAATATAATATTATTGTTGTATTTATTAAATATGTAAAGTTAATTTAATCTAATCGCACCTTTGCACCTATACTTTGTACACATACTGCACTACTCACAGTACTCAAACTTATTATTTGCAGTATTTATATTTTTGCAGTGTTTAAAAATGTTACCGTACATACAACCGACTGTGTACATGTTGTTTTACTCTGCATACTTACCAAATACATAGATGTTGTTCATACTGTACATACAGCCTCATGTTTGTACTGTTCTTTCTCTGTCCACTTCTCTTCTCTACGTTTTTTATATATTCACATATACTGCATAATATCTGTGTTTTAACTCCACTCTGTACTAACTGCATTTAACTCCGTACCCATACTCTGCATCATAACAAAGTTGAATATAATCTAAAAAAGTTTATAATGAAGTAAAACTGATCTCCAGTTATCAGGACAATGAAAGCTCCACCAGAGGGCACTCTGTGATAGAAAGTGTTTCTGCTCTGCAAACAGCCATCGGTGGGAGGTCAACAACTCTGTGAGCTGGATGAAGTTTACTCACTAACATGTCACTGCACTTTCCGACAGCTAGCTGCACACCTGGCCTGATTACCTGGATCAGACTGTCAGCAGGAGCCTTCACACTCTGTGCTGGTTTCATTAGAACAACAGGTGTGAAAACTGCTCTGGGGTCAGTCAGCTGTCTGGTTGACTGCTGCCTTCAGGTTAGCTGCTTCCCTGGAGTCTGAATGGCCGTCCATAATCTCAGCAGACAGGATAGTGTGACCGTCAGTGTCTCATCATAACCCACAGTGACACCTCCGTCCTGCTGCTGTCACATGCATTCAGATAGTCACCAGCATGAATCACTTCCTCACCTCAACACTCTCTGCTCGAGTGACGGCAAGTTGGAAGCAATAAGAGAAATTAGTTTCCATCTATCCACTTCCTGTGCCCGGTCCTTCCCAACAGGCTTTGGGTGAGAGAGGGGCTTTAATATGACACTGGTTCATATTTGAAAAATTAAAGATGAATTAAAAAGAAGTGGAGTCAAGAAAAAGGAGGCTTCATTATCAGCATTTTAGACTTTATTTAGACTGCATATTTATTTTAACACTAACCAACGTCAACACAGAGTTTGATCCAGACTGAAAATATTGATTGTATTATATAAGAATTCTGGATGGATTGTCGGGGAAATATGCCTACATATATTCATATTTCCTAGAAAATGAACCCTAATAACTTTATCTGGCTTTTCATCTTTTATCATTAATGTGAATGCTGTAAAGAAACGGAACGCTCAAAATGTCCCCATTTTCACACTTTTTCAATTCAATTCAATTCAGTTTTATTTATATAGCGCCAAATCACAACAACAGTTATCTCACAGCGCTTTTCATAAAAGAGCAGGTCTAGACCGTACTCTATGATGATATTTACAGAAGCCCAACAGTTCCCACCAAGAGCAGCACTAGGAGACAGAGGCAAGGAAAAACTTCCTTTTAAGTGGCAGAAACCTCGAGCAGAACCATGGCTCAGGGTGGGCGGCCATCTGCCTCGACCGGTTGGGGTGAGAGAGAGAGAGAGAGAGAGAGAGAGAGAGAGAGAGAGAGAGAGAGAGGGAGGCAGCCTACACAATATACACACAGAGGTACAGACAGTAAAGGTGATGTTGCTATAGACTAAATGAAAAATGGTACAGATATTTATAGTAGTGTTAATGGTAACAGTCGTAATGTTAATGATTATAATAACAATAGGACTAGTAACAATAGTTGTTGCAGCAGAGGGTGTCGAGCAGGAACACGGGGGCAGCAGGTGACCCGCAACCACAGATCCAGACTCCACAGCTCCAGAGCCAGAAAACCTGCAGGAAGTGATAGGAGGAGAGAGGAGAGGGACGAGAAAGCACAAGACTGCCATAAAGGGGAGAAGTTGTGTTAGTAACATGCAATAATGGGATGAGGTTGCATACAGAGGGAGAGAAAGTAGAGGAGAGAGGAGCTCAGTGCATCATGGGAAATCCCCCGGCAGTCTAGGCCTATAGCAGCATAACTAAGGGATGGTTCAGGACTAACCTGAGCCAGCCCTAACTATAAGCTTTATCAAAGAGGAAAGTCTTAAGCCTACTCTTAAATGTGGAGATGACTTTTTCAAGGTTTTTCAACTGTTATCTACTCATTCATACTTTCAGCTAGAAACTTCATTCAAATATAAAAAGTTTCCACATCTTTCCTTCTTTCTTCGTGTTATTCAACTTTCGAATCCTATTCAAACTCTTCAAGCTATTCAACTGTCTTCAAACTTTGAAACTTTGTTATAATGAAAGTCACATAGAAACACCATTCCAACTTTAAAACGTTCACAAACTTTTGGACTTTCTCCAGTTAATTCAACTTTTTCACATCAGTCATATTTTTTACGCTATCACAAGTCAAGTGTGTTGTCATTTTCAGCCTGTTTTCTGAGTTGATAATGAGTGTCTATGGGACGGAATTTTGGTGAGAGGACCAACTGATACAGTGAGAATTGACCCTTCACTAAGCCATAGCCTTAGTTGGACAAACTGTTGGACCTGTCGGACTTTACTGCACTCCCTGGAGAAAGAAGAAAGAAGCAGAAAGTTTTGCAGTTGCATTGTACATTTGAAGGTTGTATTCAGACTGACAGACAGAAGCTTTAGTCTACCAATCACAGAGTAAAAGTGAACCATCTTATTACCTAACTATTGAGAAAGAGGACAACGATATTAAGTATCAACAGTGCTCCTGTACAGCTACAACAGGATCTGTTTTAGGTTTTGAAAAGGGAATAAATACTTCCCCTTTCAACCTCTCTGGGTGGTGACTGTAACTATTACTAGTTTCCCAGGAACAGTAATTGTTCACATACATCTACATCTGCATTAGTATTGTACATATCTTGGAAAGATACAGCAAAAGAATGCTAGACAACGACTCCTTTTGTATAGGAGTCAATGAAGCGCAGCCATGAAAGTGTCAGACCTCAGAGAGAGAGAGACCTATACTGTGCTGTGATTGACCAGCTGTGTATTTGGGGTGTGGCTTAGCGAAGGGTCAATTCACTTCAAAATCTTTTTAGAAATTTGTCTTCAACTCGCTGTATCTAACACAGCTGGCACAGTCAGCTTGAAAGTGAGAGCAGTCACAGCCAACTGCCGCATAGACTCCCATACTAAAAGAGTCCTGCAGTTTCAGGAAAGAGGCAGAAAGCTGGACATTTTTACATTGCTGCTGTGGACACATTTTTGACAGTAGACACACAAATTTCACACACCATCTTCATGAGGATCTTGTCTCTCTTACAATATGTTTTCTTTGCACTGAGAGTTATGGCCTGTTCGGTAGGAGCAGGAAAAGCAGAGCTGTGCTTCAGGTTAAAACTCACTGACACCATCTGTCTAAGCCAGAAGTCACACAGCTTTTACTATCACCATGGCAACCTGAGAATGCAGGCTCACCCTGTGTGACTCTACAGTCGACACTGTGGAGTCATTCCACTTCCTAGGCACCGTCCTCAGCTGGGACCTCCAGTGCGAGTTGATACGCTTATGTCACATTCATACCAATTACACCATTTGAACCTTTTCCAAGTCTTTATACTCCTTTCTAAAGATTTCAGGTCATCTCTTCACAACACTTAGGACTTTCTCACATTTCTTCAACTTTTTCATATCTTTCAGCTAAAAACTACATTCATACCTTAAAATGTTCTACATTTACTAGTGCAATTTGAGATTTATTCAACTTTAAAATCTTATTATTTACAACATTTCCCATGTTTCCAAGTTTTCATAGTCATTCAGCTGCTTCATGCACATTAAAACCAGCAATGCAGTTTAGCGTCAGCTTTTCCACGAAACCTTCCACATCTTTCATCCATTCAACAGCCAGCATTCACAACGCAATTTCTTCAGAAATGGCTTTTCTAGTTTATCTTGTAGCTTGCTTTATGACCTTCAAAACTGATGACTGATCAGCCGCACTGGCAAAAACCAAGATGGGGAACATGGTCAGAAATTATACCTGCTAAACATTTGCATGATCACATTAGCATTTTTACTTGTTGTTTGACCTTCCTCTTCCTATTGGGGGTGTCATCTGCACACAAACAACTGGATAAGTATTTACTGATGTCATTTTTAGTGAGAATCAAGCGGGAAGCTTCCGGTCTGAGACGTGAATCCAATGCGGAAGTCCCTTAAACCTGCATTCTATCAAACGGCCAGCATGGAGCAACTCTTCTGGTTGCAAAAAGAAGTCCGGTTCCATTAGAAATAATGGTAAAATGAGGCTACTTCTCAGCTGATTTATTACTTCAGTAAACACTTTCCTTGAGTTTATGGTCTCAGTCGCTAGTTTCAAGTCTTCTTTAATACAACATGATGTTCATTTAGTAAATATACCATGGTGACCTGTCAATCAGGCTAACCACGGCACTGTGTAAATTTAACCAACGCCGTTGAAAAAGCTTATTAGGAGTTGGCTGTTCACTTTCTCTGTTGAGTGGCCTACATTTACTTCTAAGATATTTGTTCGCTAGACAAAGTTATCAACCCTGTTAAAATTACAGTTAACGTGAATTACAGATGCACTTAGCTAAGCAAGCTAGCTAGCTCCACACATGACCGTAGCTCCACCGTCTGGTTGCCACCTCATTCCGTATTTGAGGACTAAATCGCGTCCCCTTTTGAATGAATACGGGACGCGGTTTGTCCCATTGTCTTGAAAGGGGCTGTATGTAAGTTTTTGATTTTAATAAATCAAATTGTCATTGCCTTATATTCTTATGACTCAGAAATGAAGCACACGCCTGTTTTCTCCGTTGCTTGCGTCAGCCACTATTCTGCTTTTAATGTGTGGTCCAAAACAACAATAAAGGTGTATGTAAAATAAAGGTTCAGATGATGTCAAGTAAGAACAAACACAGAGAAAGTCGCGTTAGCTCGCAGGCTAACGCCGAGCAGTTGCTAATGTTATCCGGTGCAAAGTTATATCGCTTTCCACATTACTTCACCAACTAATGCCACCCATGTTACTATCCTGTGTACCACTGTTGATTTAGCCTGCAAGACAGGATGTAACGGCAAAAAGCAAATGTGGAGCGATTTGTTTACCAACGTTAGCCTATAGTGATGCAGCCAGCTAACGCCACAGTAGCTCGGACCTGCCACTGTTTTCTTCGTCACGTTCAGTTTTTGTTTATTGTGGTTTTACCAATACTCAGATACACAGCTTCTCCACCTCTCAGTCGCTGTAACTAACATGACCCATATAACATAAAACACACAAAACGGCCACAACAATCCAGAGGAAGAGCCATCCACTATCACTAGTTACAGTAAAGTTACTTACTGCGGTCTAACTGTTATAAAGTGTGACACAATCTCGTTATAATATCCATTCCAGCTCACTGACCGTTTCATTATCATCCAATACATGTAGCTGTGCTGACACTGCTGAGCCTCCGGTGACAGATTCACAGATAGTAAAGATAGTTACTGAAAAGCAGCAGACGAGCTAACGATGTAGCACGTCGGCTAAATGCAGTAAATGTACCGTTAGTTCAGCCTGCAGCTGATAATACTATTACTGTAACGTTGCAGTGGGAGTTTACCTGAGTTTCCAGCTCTGTCTGTTCTCCCTGTCTGTCTATAGCCGCTGTCACTCTGCCTTTTTTCAGGAGGATTGTGCCGATATGCGGCTCGCTGCGCTGAATGAAAGGTACTGGTGTTGATCTGCCTCTGAGGCGGGAACGTTGAAGTAACAGAGCCTGAACATGTGAGTCAAAAGCCACAGCCTGCATGCTGGTGTTTCTGCATTTATTGCATTTCTGTATGTCATTGGTTGTGTTTTGAATTATGCTCGCTCATGACTTCAAGCGAGCACGCGTACGAACACACGCATGGTTACAATCTTAGAATCGCACCGCTAGTGGCTGCTGGAAACTCCATAATGCCCCTTTAATGCAGCATCCCGTGTAAATCATCCCGCCCGCATTCTGTAAAGACTTGCCATTTTCTACCCCTGATTGGGTAATAATCGCTGCCATTGTCAGGGGTGGCTGTGGCTCAGAAGGTAGAGCGGGTTGCCGGTTAATCGGAAGGTCCGGCTGGCTGTTCCACCAGTGTATGTTAGCTTCTGTTTGAGCACTTAGGCTCAGTGTGTGACTGGTGAATGCAGATGTAGTGTAAAAGCGCTTTGAGTGGTCGAAAAGACTAGAAAGGCGCTATACAAATACGGAGCATTTACATTGTTGGTTTGATTAATACCGTCAGGTTCAGGGCCAATCGGAGTCTCTCTTGGAGTGCCGAGTTGAAACAACGGTCGCGGCAACTTGACATACCCCCACGTCACATCTGAAATGAAAGCAGATGCAAAAGACGATGAGAGTGGGAGAAATCAAATAGCCTGCTTAATGAGTATCAAGCCAAACTGCACAATTTGTTGGCCAGTGTTCTGTGTGGTGCACGGTGGCCTTTCAGATGTGTGACAGCATGCTGAGGCAGTGTAATCCAACAAAGGTTGAGGTCAAGGGCAACTGGACTTGGTTGAAGATACTAGAAGACGTTTCGTCCCTCATCCAAGAGACTTCTTCAGTTCTGACTGAAGTGACATCACGATCACTACGTCCACTTCTTATATGACTATAACTGTGTCCTCCTGTCTGTCCATCCCTGCTCTGTTGCTCTTCCTGAACTTTTTCCCCGTTAAAAGGTTTCTTGGTGGAGTTTTTCTTCATCTGAATCGAAAGTCTAAAGACCCAAAAGTGACTGTGTGGATCCAGGTTTACAGGTCTGACAGATTGGGTTTGGGCCCAGCGATGAAGCCTGCTGATTTCACCGTTAACTGCAAAATGTTTTGTATCATAGGGGATTTGGGTGTTTCTGCACAAACACAGGGACTATGGGTCAGATGGGTCAGATGTGACCCATAGATGTAAGTTTTGAGTTCTTTCAGTGGACTTGATACTTGATGCTATGCAACCATATAACATTGATGTTGGAATGACTGTGTTTACATACGAACATCATATGTACTGCAGCGAACACAAGCTTAATGTCCTTGTCAACATGTCACAGCTGACACAGTGAGGCTTTCAGTAACTTTGCTGCATGACATCAGGTGGCAGCAGAAAGCAGAACACAGAGGAAGGAAGGATTTGTTGCAGCACAGGTTTCCTTGTGTCCTGGTTTCAGACGAGAGGACTCCTACAGTACACTTAAAAAAACACAGAGTTCTTCATATGAAAAAAAAGTTTATTTAACCTTTGTTAGAAATCCACATGCAGTTATGTAGTTAACTCATTTCCTTTTGGGTGGTAAGGTTACACAGTGAATAACAAACAGCCTGTTTATCACTTCAAACAGAGAAATACATACAAGAGATCCACACCGTTCTACTAATGCAAAATCCTACACATCCACTCTTTGTGTCTTCAGTTGGAGGCAAAACTATAATCCAACATGTGTCCCAGGAACCTGTCAGACTACCCTGAGGGGGAAGTAACACAAAGACAAAAAAAGGATTTGTTATGAATAACAGGATTGTGTTTATGCATATTTATTTCTTTACAGCCACAATAAGAGACAAACAGAACACTGAGGCCTGGTCCAGGAAGGGCTACGGGACAGGGCCAGTAAAGTTCCACGTGATGGGAAATACTAATAGCTTTCTTTTCTAGATCAACCTCATCTGTGTGTCCAGTACAGAGGTTGTGGCTAGCCTAGATTAGCATAAAGACTGGAAGCAGGGGGAAACTGCTGGAATGATCTGATGAACTAATTTCTGTTTAATCTGGACACAGACAGAAATAATTTAACAGCTCCTTACTGAACTCACAGTCATGAGTTTGATATCCATCTTTCACAGAAACTCTTAAGTGTATTTCCCAAAGTGTGGAACCTTTTGAATTGAAAGGGTTTATCACTTGAGGAGCGTGAACATGCTCAGCTAATCAGATATCTTGTGTTGCACTAGAGGATTTTTACTTTTAATAGAGCTGGGGAAGAAGAAGTCCCCGGTCATCCCCAGACTTCTGGGACTGCATGTATAATTAATATTCATGTTGTCTCTACTAACCTCTGAAGTTTTTATAGTAACTAATTAATATCCACATTTTCTATGACGTCCTAACCAGCACACACTTTGCACTGGACTTCCTTCTGCCATGCTCAGCTGCAGACTCACCTCTTCCATTGTTGCATCCCAGACCGCTGGCGTTTCCAATTCGGTCCATCCTGGCTCCAAAGCAGCCTGAGGCCCGTTTCCTGGCCGTCAGCAGCAGGTCCTGCAGCCGGCTCCTCTGACTCACGGCCCTGCTGTGGCCCTCAGCTGGCGATTGAGATCTTTCTGATAGCAAAGGCTCTTGGTCCCCCTCCTGGTCCAGGCTCCATCCTGGGCTGTCCTGGCTGCGCTTAGGCTCTTGGTTTGTCCCTTCATAATCAGCTTCAGAGTCCTCATCCTGGGCTGCTTCAGCCAGAGTCTCCTCAAAGCGTTCCAGTAAAGTCTGGTTAGCAGAGATGAAGACAGGTTGAAACAGCAGTAACACTCTGTCAGTGTGTTTCAGACACATACCAAGCTGACTGAAAACCAGAAGCCTTGCAGTGAAACTACGGGCAGCCCAGAACTTGGGAGGTGGTGACTTCTCTAGAACAGGAATGTTTAAAAATACCTCTGGTATTAAAGTGGAAGATTTTAAACTAGACATGGATCACGTCTAGGTCCAAAATATGGACCTTGGGGTTCCCTGATCCAAGAGAGCTGAATATGGCTTTAACTAGTGCATCTGACCCAGGCTTGGACCACAAGGATCGCTGAATCTGCACCAGACTGAGTTCTAACTCTTAGTTTAAGGAATGTTCTCTGCTGAGTTCCTGCTGACTGGAGGTGATAAAGGCTGTTCGGTACTTCTTGTTACTCTGGGCTGGCTCAGTAAGCTTCACAGGAAGTGCATATTGGACTAACAGCGTCTGAAAGCTCCTTGTCATGAATGCCTGTCTGAAAGTGTGCAGCGTTATTTCTAGAAGCTGATGGAAACTGTTTGGCTGTGCTGAGTTTATTCATGTTCAAAGAGTCTCTGAGATACAGAGTGCACTTCTTCTCCCCACAGACTCCAGCACTCAGGCGATACGCTTCACTCATCCGGGGGATGAACTGTGAATTTATGGACTGATTCTCTGAGAAATATCAACCAGATATCAGTTTTGCTGCTGAAGGAAAGTTTGCATTTTGCACAGCTGCTGTACAACATATTCTCATCTCTGACCTTTAAATACACAACGTTGTTCACTAACTGTGAATGTACCTGACCCTCAAACAGTGCAGGTGTGACGACTGAAGGGCCGTTGTGATCTCTTACCTTGAGCTGAACGAGATCGCTGGTGGAAGACGGCCTCCCCAGTATGTGGCTGCTCACCAGCGTGAGCTGACCCAGCAGGGCCAGCAGGCCCCACAGGACACCCGTCCTCATGTTATCCTTCTGCTGCTACTACTGATGCCACAGCCTGCACTGCACGATTTTATATATGTGCCAACACACACACACACACACACACACAAACACCATGCAACAGACAGTCAGTGTCAGTGGCTCATCATTTTGTAGATCTCCTCAAGTGCATTCTGACACCTCTGCGTGATAAAGCAGCCGGTCAGATGTCCAAGTAAGTGGCGCTTGGTGGTACGTGATGTGTGTGTGTGTGTGTGTGTGTGTGTGTGTGTGTGAGAGTGTGCGTGCGTGCGTGTGTGTGCATACTGTATGTGTGTCTGTGTATCATCATGCTTACAGCCAGCAGTGGCATGAGCTCAGGAGCCATGTTGGAGCTCTGAGCTCAGACCTGGAGTGTATTGACAGGAATGCAGCATTCACACTGTATGTGCTCCTGAGCCTGAAGATACCATAGTAGGTTAAAACTGTTGCTGTGGGGAACGTCTGTAGCTGCAGAGAGGCTGCAAGCTTTAGATTAGGACCTCTGTTCAGACATGTAAAAACAAAAAGACAATTTGAGCGTCTGCTGAGGAAGATGGTGTGATAAACTCAAAAGCTCCAGAACCACTAGATGGCCCTTGAGTGAGTCAGAACCATCTCCATGACAACTAGGCAGACCTGAACAGCTGAAAGCATCCAGAAACCATTCAGTAAGTGGACCTTGAGTAAGAATTTTATTTCTAAGATCCAGAGTGAACTGGCTGGTGGTTGTGGCTACCTGAGAGGTGTCCTGTCTGTTCAGTCCACATAAGCAGTCCTCAGAATCAGCTATGCAAATGGTCCTCACCAGGGGGACTGGCGGCAGGAAGTTACAGCATTGTTTTTATTGATTGACTGATCAGCTTCCCTGTCTCTGCCTATAGTTGGACCCTGTACAAAGGATCTATCCACGGCTGTTCATTTTAGTATCTTTGTAGTAGCTGAGTTTAAAGGGCCCTCATGTGAGGAGGGCCCCGTAAACTCAACTACTACACCCCCAGTTACACTGAGGGGCCTTAATCAATCATTATAGATAATGTTGTTTACACAACACGTAAACAGCAGGAGATGTCTGTGGTTTGTACAGCTGCCTGTGTGGATGAAGCACCAGACAGGAAACCGGAAACTCAGAGCTTTAAAAACCTGGTGGATCCTGTAAAACCTGGTGGATCCTGTAGAGTCAGTGTGGATGATGAAGGCATATCTGCTCCATGAGACAGACAGACGAGTGACGTTGATGTTACCACAGACTGATGCTGACAGTTGCCTAACCTGAAGTCTGTTACCTTGAATAGGCGATGGACTCCTTTTGTACACTGCTCACAGCTTGGCGTTGGTCTCAGTTGATTTAGGTCAGTGGTTATGAAACGGGGGGGGGGGCATAGTGCCTCTGCAGGGGGGCGTGGATGTTGAGCAGACCTAAAGTTGTATAGATGGGATTCATGTTGTGGCATAAACATAAAAAGTGCTCTGATGCTAGCAAGGCTATTCTGCTAACCTGAATCCTTTCAGTCACCCGTGTTGTCAATGATTGATTACAATGAAATGCACTTTTGCTGAAGTTTGTGGAGCTTAAACTTTTTCTAAAGGGGTCATGACAGGAAAAAAGTCTGAGGAGCACTGATGTAGGTGAACAAACAGACGCAGGCAGAAACAAACCAGTCTGAGGGTCCATCACAGTCTCAGCCTCACGTTGGAGACAGACAACCAATCACAGGACAATGACAATCATGTGACTGTGACATTCACTGCCAGCAGCAGACGTTTCTCGTGTTGACACAAAGCCACTGCCCTGGGCCGCAGGCCTAATTACCCAGTATGCAACAGTGAAGATAGTTCTAATGAAGCAGATTCTGTGCAGATGTGTTCAGCTCTGTGTGCTCTCCGTGGTGCTGAAAACAAAGGCTTCTATGTGGAAATGTGATGAAGGTACATAATAACATCCTGCATGGAGCTGCTTTGTGCTGCTTCATTAATATTATATAATTGATTCAGAGCTGATCTTTGTCCTGTCAGCTCCTGCATCCTTCCCCCAGGATGTTTGGCTTTGTGTTGTGAAAATGAACATGCAAGTGATAACATCTTGTAGACAATCACTCACCAGGGTTTATATAAGGTATAAAAACAACAGTATCATCCTCTCACTGTGCCATTTCTTCTGTTATTTGCAGACAGTACTGTATGTTCACAATGTAAAGCATGTGCTGTTGTCAGACGTCACTGTGCTGAATGTAAGAAGTATCATTTGTTGTACCAGCAACACTCGGGTCAACAATGTGCAGTTGTAAACATTTATTAAAACATTCAACAGTCCATAAAGTCTTACATCGATTTTAAATAAATATACCTTTAAGCCACAAACAATACTCAATAAATATTGGTAAATAAATAGCATTCAAATAAAAATATTCTTTGGTAGAGAGTTCTGCAGTTCCAGAAATTAGGTGGTAAGACTTCATCTTTACTTTGGATCTGCAAGAGAACAAGAAAACAACAACAACTCTGTTACTAAGACTGTTCATGTTTTCTCTGTTGATTCCTTAGTGATACGTTTGTATGAGGTAAAATGTTGCTACATTATACTTAATTATATAACCTATATGGAGCTGTTTTCTCTGGATGTTGTACCAATCTCTTTTTATCACCAAGACAAACCTATGTTCTATTATAATGACTAGTCCAGGTTCAGCTGCTCCGGTCCTGCAGGACTTACTGCAGTGGAGTCACTAACTTACTGTATCTGCCGACGGTGTTGCACCCCAGAGAGCTCATGGAGCCTATTCTGTCCATCCGCCGCCCGAAGCAGCCGGAGGATTTCTTGGTCGAGTCGTTGCGGACACTCTTCAGGTTCTTGGCTGAGAGAAACTCCCTGATCTCCGCCTCGTCCAGTCCAGTCAGGGGCTGCTGTCCATCTGCTGCCTCCTCTGTGCTCAAGCTGTCCAGACCAGCTCCCTGGTCCACCTCAGTCTGCTCTGAAACTGACCCCTCTAGTCTGTGAATGAGCACCTGCAACGTCCACACAGACATGAGTTAGGCTACATCTTCTATATTGTAAAAAACATTTAATTGTTGTATTGAGGACATTCACTGGAGGTACTGCAGTTTTTAAGCAGTTTTTAAGACCAAGAAGAATCTTTGATCTTCTTACTTACAACTAGACTCCCCATAGCATCAATTTAACCCCAGATCAGATCCTATTAAATCACCAAAGAGAGAGGTCCGTACAGGAAGTTACTGCAGACATCTTCCCTGACTGGGACACCTACTGTAAATGAAAGGTTTGTCCTGCATTGCTGTTGCAGATTGCCTAAAATGGTGGATCCATGGTGGGGCCCTTGACCTCCAACAGGTTTCAGAATCACTCACCTTTAAGATGTCCATGTCAGTGTCAGTCAAGCCGCCGCTGATGGGATACGTGCTGACCAGCTGCAGGTTTAAGACAAGGAGGAGGCTGCAGAGGGGAAAGAAAGACAGAAGCATGTTTCTCTGTGGGGTCCTGCTGCTAAGATGGATGGATGGATGGATGGATGGATGTTCTTCAGTCTCTTTGCCTAGTGGCTGTTTGGATGCTGGAGCCCACAGCAGCACCCTATGCTCTTTTATACTTCAGCTGGACACACATAGGTATGCCAGGAATCAGACAGCATTCCTAACACCTGGTTCTGATAGCTGGAGCTGTCGGAAACGGCTCCTTTTAAAGCGTTGTCTCTTAGATATGGGGCATTCGTAAGCCATAGCTACTTCCATATGCTCCTTTGTTTCCCAAACATACCCCCCCCTCCCCCTCTACACGGGACGGTGTTGTCACTGAGCTAAGGGAAGTAGTAAACTAACTGGCAGTGTGATGCTGTTACTAAATCGAGGGGTGTACGTGATAGAGGCAGAGTAGCTGCTGGTTAGAGACAGTTTGAAGACTGGGAGGAACCAAGTTCAGCTCTCAGGGTGCTGCTCTATGGCAGACTGTGACCTCTGACCTCCCTGCGGAGGGAAGCAAATATTAGAAAACATAAAAATATGAAGATTGCACTAGTAAATATTGATATATCAGCATTGGATCATTAGTGTGCTAGGTAACCAACCCACAGGGAGTTATACCACGCTATACAGCTGTTTCTCTGCGGAGGACAGGCTGGTTTTTCCACTGCACAGTACAGCAGTGCTGACAGCAGTGGACAGTTCACACCAAAAAAAAATGTCAATATAGGTTATTTATGCAGCACATTATTACGACCAATATTTACATTTATTGTGGCAGCATACAACGGTAGCAAAGGAAGAAGTTGGATGATGTATTATAAATATTGAGAAAGCGTGCATTAGGAGGCAGGATGGGGTGGATGGATGGAGTGAATGGGTGTGTAAAGCCCTGACTTTCATCTGAAACCAATTTTGAGTTATTAAGTTGAATAGTGTTACTGACCTCCGTCACGTGACTTACGTAAAGTGATTGAACCCCGCATCGTGTCATTTTGGGAGGCATTGATAAATGACCGATATTGTTGTTTAGGTTGGAGGAAGTTTTCTTACCTGCCCTGGAAAAACTCTTTTGATTAGTGAACAAATCTTCATGTGTGAAGTAACCCTTTAATACCTCAGTCAGCTAAACTTTGCCTTAACCATGTTAAACTGCATCTTTATCTTCCACTTCTGTTAGTAGACAGCATTTTACTGTCTGACAGTTTGTCTTTTTATGTGCACTTTCATGCTCTGACATGTACTGTATATGTACGTGTGCTATGCACCAGCGAAACACACGTCCATTATTGCCTGAGTTAATACAGCTTTGATTTTTGAATCTTACTTCAGTCAGTTTTGGTGATAATATAAAGTAAATGCTAAGCTGCATGTTCCAAGGTGGGAATGCTACATGAGACTCAGTACCTACAACCTAACATAACATGTGGCACATTTAGCTCAGTCGGTAGAGTGTGGACCCCATGGACAAGGCTGAGTCCTTACTGCGGCGCCCCGTTCGCCCCCTATCTTGCTCCCTCTTTCCTCATTCTATCCACTGTCCTATCAAATAAAGGTAAAAACGTCCAAAAATGTATTTAAAAAAAAGTAGTAATAACACAATGTTAAAATTTTCCACGGGTTGATAGACCTACTTCAAATACCGTTAAGGGGTCCAGATATGGGGACAAATTGCTGCAACACAAATCTGTTTCCATCTTTTGGATTTTTCTCTAATCTTTGCTTTTAACTGAGAAACATCAGATCATCTGAACTCATTATTCAAATTAAACTATGTGAGAAGTTCAGAGGGGGAATGTCTGTTCGGCAGAGAGAACCACTCAAAGAGACATCTGAAACAGGACCACAGCTACACCCTGGCTTCTTTTCTCAGAAGCCAAAAGGTTGAAACCACAGGTTTAATCTGACAGCGTATTTTACAAGCTATCCTGTGTTTGTTGCATGTGACATCTAGTATCCTAATTTACCAGTACAGCTGTCAGATAACTGTAGTAACACGTCCAATATTTCCTGAAATGTAGTCATTGTTATTACATATTATTATCTTTATTGATGTTTGTATTATGACATTCAATATTTATTATTTCTGTCCTGCATTGCACTAGTTGTGTTCTCTTTCCTCCTGCTCTGTCTCCCATCATGTGGACCTAAAAGGAGCTTTACGCACACATTTTGCGCGCCTAAACTTGGACACGTGGTGCAATCAGTCAATCCAAGATAGAGTCACGTGTGTGTTGGATCCCGTTTCCTGTTGACCCAGATCCTTCTCATCTGTCCAACATGAGCTCTGTATTTATATAGCCCCTTATTGTAAACAGACATCTTCATGTTTGTTTTAAGGTTCGTTATGTTCAGCCGAGGGAGGCAGCGCGTCTCTGCAGTGGGTTCCTTTCATAACCCCGGGACAGCATATTATTTTTACTTTTCAGTTTAAGCCAAAACGCGGAAGAAGCTGCTGTCGCTTCAGAAGAATTCAAGCACAGACTCAGCTGTTATGCAAAATAATTATTTTACTACAATACAATCAATCACAACTCTATGTCACCCAACAGGGAGATAATAAATAATAAATACATGTACAATAATTTATTGTTGAACAGCTCACATATGAAAAAGCAAAGTTCTGGATGATTCCCGGACAGCAGAGAGAGAAGTACCCGCCCTTTAAAGTGTCAAAGCGCAATGACCAGAAGCTCCGGTGTGGGTTCCGGTAACACCGAAGTGTAGAAGCCCGAAGTCAGTCCGGAGTCACCCCGGTGTCATCCCGCCTGCGGACACAGCAAACACACATTAATACACCGGGTTCAGAGTAATGAGCCTCTGGAGCTCCAGCTGCTCCTCATGTTCGGTGAATTTCATGTTATCGGTTTTAATCTATATTAAACAGTGAGCACGTGTTTTAGTAAGCAGGTTATATGTTAAATATAGACACCATGTTTCTGCTTTGGCCATGTGCATCATGTTTCCCTGTGGATGCAGTTAAAGAAGATAATAAATGTGATCTAACACTGTCTTAAAATGAACTAATAATCCCAGGCTGCATATTGAAATAACTGTGTAATCTGTTTTAAAATCCTCATCTTCTGACTGCAGTTTCTTTTCATGGTGCTTGTGTTTTTCTTGCGCGTGGAAACAAACTGAATCTGCTTCTTAATGAAACATGGAGGAACTCTTATTTCTCTGCTGCCATTATTAAAACATAATCCCATCTGTCCCCGGTCCCCCTGGCTGTCCCCAGTCCCCTGGCTCCTACCTTCAGCACCCCAGTCCGCTGAAAGAGCCGATCCTCTCTAACCGGACCCCGAAGCAGCTCCTCAGCCCGCCCTTCTTGTACCGGCTCCACGAGCGCTTGGAAGTCCTCATGAGGTCTTTGAAGAGACGCGCCAGGGCGTTTTCTTTGGCCGCCAGGACCGAGTTGCTAGGGTCTGAGGAGTCCCAGTGCCGCTCCTCCTCCGCGCCTCCGAACACCGCCTTGTCCGTGCTCCCGTCCCTCCCCTGCGCCTCCGTCTCCTCCGAGGAGTAAAAGGGCGCAGCGGCGAGTTCCTCTTCTAAAAGTTGCTTCAGACTCTGCGGAGAAAAACACAGAAGCTTTAAATTCACAGTGGCAGTGAGGCAGAGACAAGCAGACCTCCTCCATCATGTCTTTATAAACCCTGCTCCTCCTCATCACTGCGTCCCGGCTGAAAGGTAAACTCACCTGGAGGTCAGAGACGGGTTTGGCTTCCGCCAGGTGAAGCAGTAAAAGCAGAGACAGGCAGCAAACGGAGATGGAATTTGGGTTCATTTTCTTCTGCGGTTCTGTTTCAGTCCCTGCTCCCGTTGCTCGCGCTCGTCCGGTTCTGTGTCGGTGCCCAGGTGCCATCTTTATACCCGACCTGATTCCGTCACGAGGCCTGGGAAAATTAACGATGTGTGACTAATGCTGCTACACGTGGGAGTGCAGGCCAACCTGCCGGCTGGAGTGTTTCAGGTTAAACGCTGCTTCTGTATGGAAGAACTTTTAATTGGAAACGCCCCCCACCCACCCCACCCCAACTCCTGTACATCCTAATATTTTCTTTAGTGACTTTATCTCCCGCTGTTCATAATAAAAATGAATTCTGAAGCTGCCGAATCTCTGCTCATAAATCCATGTGTAGTTTATAGTCAATGAGATCCTCTTACACCAGACTCAGTGTTAATATTGGACGATTCTGCAAAGCACCAGATTGTGTTCAATGACAGTGTGTTGAAAAAGATGTATTTATGTTTCTATCATTGCTTGGATTGTTTTGCTTCTAATACCTTTTATTTCTGGTTTAACTCACCCATGTTTTCTCTTTTTTTGCTGCTTGGAACCTTTTATTTACTTTTTATCTACTTTACTTCTCTACTGTTTGCAAATTTATTTGATTTATGAGCGTTTGTTCAGTTTCAGTTTTTAGTGAATGTTGTTATTATTGATACCCTTATTAATCAAGTCATTTATTGTTTTTATGTGTGGATTGGCAGGGGTATGTTTTATTGTGTGCAGCACTTTGTGTTACATCTGTTTGTATGAAAAGTGTTATATAAATAAAGTCTGACTGATTGAAGTGCTAACTATATGTCTGGCATGAATGTTAAGACAGGACATTAATCGTGCACTAAGGGTACTGGTATCATGTCGAAAGATACTGGACTGTATCAAGCACAGAAAAAGCTTCTTGTGATAGAGAAGAAAAAGTGTCAAAGTAATTTGAATACTGATTTTAAATGTGTTATCATGTTAGCTTGAGCAGCTTTCCCTCAGTACTCTGTGCTGAACGCACTTTATATACTCCCTGCTGAGTGTAAACTGGAGCTGCTCACAGATAATCTGAAGGGGCTGACGTGTAGAGGAGGACATTAGGATTAATTTGAAGTTTGTCTGATTGGTGTGTTGGTGTGTGTGTGTGTGTGTGTGTGTGTGTGTGTGTGTGTGTGTGTGTGTGCTTGTTTATACTCATGTTCCCCCCTAACTCTCATCAGCCCCCACTGACTGCCCACCATCAGACAGGTACCAGAGGTAGATGATGAG